GACAGGAAAGATCCTGTCAGCAGTGCAAATTTTCTGCTATTGACAGGACGATCCTGTCAGCAGTGCAATATTTTCTGCTATTGACAGGACGATCCTGTCAGCAGTGCAATATTTTCTGCTATTGACAGGACGATCCTGTCAATAGCCACAGGCAAAATCAATTTCCTCTTCTCCAAACACTAACCTCTGGCCTGGCCAATGACATGATTTGTTGACGTCTGTCACCATGGTGACTGGTGTTGGGTTACATAATGTTGCAAACTTCATGGTCTGCTCTGCTCCTGTCACCATATACTAGTAGTACATGTAATGTGAATATGTTTGAGTAAAAATTAACAGGGCAGACCATGTCCGAAGGTAAACATTAAGCATTTGCTTTGCAAATGTTACTTCTCTAGTTGTCAGTTTGGATCAATATTGACAATGACAACCCACCTCCTCACACTATGGCACAAATTATCACCAAGTGCTCATTATATTTTACTACTACGCTGTCATTTGTTACCTTCGCCAAGAAGGTTATGTTTTCAGTAGCGTTTGTCCGTCTGTTTGCCCGTCTGTCAGTTTGTCTGTCTGTCTGTCTGTCTGTCTGTTTGTGAAGAGCATAACTCAAGAAGCTTAATATGCATTGTCATGAAACTTCGTACGTGGGTAGGTCTTGATGAGACCTAGAAATGATTAGATTCTGGGCCCCCTGGCGGCTTTTGTTGGTACTGCAGCAGAATTTCCAGTTTTGATATCTCGCGATGTTGACATGCTAGGGTCACGAATTTTGGTTGGTAGATAGCTCTTGGTGTAGGGAAGAAGTGACATGAGTTTGGGCCCCTAGCGGCTTGTTCTGGAACTGCAGGAGCATTTGTTGAAATATTTTTGAAGGAGGATAACTCAAGAACTGGTTGACGGATTGTCGAGGTTTTAGTATGTAGGTAGCTTAAGCGATACTTGACATAATCAGATGACAATTATGCAAATCAGGAGCTAATTTGCATAATTAATGAGGAAATTCTATAAATCTGCTTTGTTCGATAATAGGACTATGAAACATCTGAGGATATAGATTATGTAAATGAAGACCTAAATTGCATAATTAATGGTAAATTTTTATAATTTCATGGTTGTAACTGCTGAATGTCATACTTGCCACATTTGGAAGTTAAGTGAAGGTGAACATCAATAAACATAATTTATTCAAATCATGATCTAATTTGCATAATTTACGAGGAAGTGCTCTAATAGCCTTTTTGTTAAGATAAGGCTGTCATTGGGTGAAGAATATAATCAAGTGATATAATCCATGCAAATGGGGCTCTTATTTGCAAAATCAATGATTAAAATTGTATAATTTGTCAACCACAAGGGTTAACATCATTTGGCGAAGGTTGTGGTCGTGGAACTCTTTTTTTTAGTACTTCTTTCAGTTTGACCAAAAAAAAAATTAATGACCCCATTAAGATCTAGACAGATGTAGGAGCACATTTGAATCTCTGGTCGATTTCCATTTTTTTTTACTTCTTCCATCAAGAACTCATGACGTTTCTAAACAGGGAGACGTTAATTCGCCATGTTAACTGATGCCATGTTTCGTTGTGAACCAGTCAGAATTGCCCTGAGGAAGGTGACAGACGGTCACCGAAAAGTCGGCTGAATAAAAGACTTGGTTGTGTCAAAAGTGTTTCATTACTCTGATGCCTTGTTAATTGTCTATAGTGCATACATGACATTACAGTATAGTATGTCTGGCTCTACTAACGTTACATGTACTAATAATGTCTGGAGGTATCTTGCCCTGTAGTCCAGAGACCCCCAAAATGACAGCCACCTTTGGGTATAAATAGTGAACGCGGGTGTCGGAAGCACCAGACAGTTTGTGTACATTTGGCATTTATAAGTACCAGATATGATTTTCTAGTTGTAAACAAGAATGACGAAGCAAAAAAATAGTCTGTGCTGTGTATCCGGTATTGGTGTCATTACTGACAATGATACAATACATTATTTTTGTTCAAATTACAAGGCACGTTTCCACTTTCACAGTATATTTTGCTGACCTGATTTTACTGCAGCCCAACTAATGGTGCGAGTTGGTCCAAACGAGAACTTCATCCGGAATGAGCTGTGTGGGCAAATTTTTATAAGCAATAATGATAGGAGCGGAGAGGTGTATTGCAACCCGCCGATATCCGGTCGTTATGTGTCGGTACAGCGATTGGATTACTGGTATTTGATACTGTGTGAGGTAGAGGTCTATGTTACAGGTAAAGTATATAGCTCTGATGATTTTTATGTCTCCATTGGATAGAGCGATAAACACGAAATAGCATGAATTTTATTACTCGGAAAGGCGATGTATATTGTTTGTATCGAAAATACAAAAAAAAGGTAGAATAAAATATTAAACATCTTGTTAATTTGCTTTGATACACATTCCTAATGACGTTCGTCAAAGAAACAAGCTTGTCTTTGGAAAGAAATATGAGAACCATGACTGGCTGACACTTTTCCTTCACCGGACGTTTTTATTTTGTTTTGCATTAGAAACCACTTTTGCTGCTGCTCCGTTCTTTTTTTTAAATATCATTTTGCATTCCTTCGTTAATTTTTTGTTTGTTTTTCATCTTAAGAGATCTGCTGTGACCATACCATAGAAATCATGAACGGCCAGATTACCGCTACTCACGGCAGTTACTGCTCTGGGAACGACATTCAGTTCTCTTGTCACCCTGGATACGAGCTTCTCGGTAATTCCATGGCCACTTGCCAAGAAGACGGGAGTTGGAGCCAAGAAATTCCGACTTGCCAACGTGAGTTACTGCATCCTCTTTTGCCGTCTTGTCTTCTTCATCAATCTGAATTGATGTCGAATCCAGAACTTTCTTGTTCTCAAATGAGTTATAGACAGTGCTTACCTTTCATAAATCTATAGTTAAAAGATAAAGCCTCATTTATTTATTCATTCATTCATTGTATAGCTGTAAGTTATACCAGTACTGCATGGCATCCCAAACAAAACAAACCGAAGTTGTCATAACATACACAGCATCTCGCGCCATCATCGGCGGCACCATTGCCGGTATTGCCGCAGTGCTGATTGTGGCAGCTGTCGTCTTCATGGTCTGCCTGAGACGAAGGAGAAAGAGAAGAAGGGAACAAGACAACGCACAATCGATTGTCAGCTTTGTACCGGATGACATTGCAAGTAAGTGGTATTTTTCCCTAGAACTCACAGGGACCCCAGGGTCCACCGCTAATGGTTATACAAATAAAGTTTCAAAGTTTCACAACAAGGATATGAATTCCTATTATAAAGCATTCATTGTTATAGTAATCCACAATCCATCCTTTTTGGCACTTCTGAATTAGATTTTTATTTTACTTGTAGTATGAATAATTATATATTTTATGCCATAGTGCACGCTAAAACAAAAAGTCACATACATGTGTAGTGACCGCCTTTTAGATTAATAAATTTAAAAAAAAATTTTTTCAGCAACCAATTTTAAGCCGATGTGTGTTTGTGGGCATTGAAGTAGTCCCGCTTTTAGAACAAATACCTACAGGTCCCAAGGTATTCATTTTATAGTATGAAGTAAGAAAACTATACACGTAGTAGTACAGTATAAATCGAACAAAATCCTTTCTTTATTATACAATCACATATTTTCTTGTCCCATGTTGTTGTACAGTCCATATGAGGAGGTTGGAGGAGATGGTCCCGCTGGTTCCTGCCCGACCACAGTTCCCGAAGTTAGAGACCGACCCCGGCCGGGTGACGCTTGGTGAGAAGATCGGCAGCGGGGCGTTCGGCATCGTTTACCGGGCAACTCTGACGAGGAACGACAGGACAGAGGACGTCGTCGTAAAAACTGTTAAAGGCCTGTATATACATTTATGTATTAGTGTTTGAATGTGACAAGTTCACCAGGCTAGGTTTGAACGCGATTTTGCACGTGTTTTACACGTGTTCAGAACCATAACACGACACTAGACAGGATCTTTGATTTTTGACCTCTGCACATGCGCTACTTACGTGTATAGACAGAAGCAGAAGTAGAATATATTTCAGTACAGACAAAGCCATATTTTAGGGACATCAGCAAGATATATTTAAGAACTTTCAATGTCTATGTACTTTTAAAGCTCTTCTGTTTTTCAAAAGTCCAAATGAAAACACCTGCAGCTAATTAACAGATGCCTGGTGGTGAACGATAGATATTGGCCATTATTTTTTGACGATTTCTAATTCTATTTTCTATATTTCTTTTGCTAGTTATAACCAAGTGTTGTTTGCAAGGTTTTACACAGTGTTTGAATTTTATTTTTCATTCACAGAACACGCTAGTGATGAAGACAAGCTGGGTTTCTTGGAGGAAATCCGTGCAGTTGTGGACCTGGGGGTTCATAAGAACCTGTTGGGTCTAGTCGGCTGCTGTACGGTGGTGCGAGACCATCTGTATCTCATCACGGAGTTCATGCCATACGGAGACCTAAAGAACTTCTTGAGAAAATGCCGGGAGGTGAGCCACATTGTTGTTTTTCTCTGAAGGGCAGTAAGTACGCTGGGACTGGTAGTCAGGAACGCTAGAGTACTCCTAAGTCCTAAATGTCGGGAGGCCATGTAAGAATTTTGAGGGCGTGCTAATGCATTGGTCACTAACGGATGCAAAATTTATGTGTCATTCTGTAAAAAGGTACAGATTTTTGTTGCCCATGTATGTTCATGAAATATTTGACATTTTAAAAGTTTCTACACCAGGTGTACTTACATATGCACATTGTTACGAAATATTAGAGTAATGAAAAGAATATCAGAAAATACATATGTCGCATCTCAATAGGAAGAGACCTCTGACGAAACTCGAGACGATATCTACGACTTTGAGGTGATACAGATGTATCAGGTGGCCCGGCAGATCGCCAGAGGCATGGTAAGTACAAGTACAGTTACCATACCAGGCGCTGCAGATGTACCATGTGCACAAACGGTAAGTGTACCACGTTCTGCAAAGTCCAGGTGCTACAGATGTACCAGGTACCAGAAATGTTCTAGATGCTGCCCATTGAAGAAATTATAGTCGTAGATCATATGCACTTTTTGATTACGATATGAAATGCATAAATTTTTCCCCGCCCGCTCCCTCATGATTTCAACTGCAGTACCAGTTAGCCGGGTTTCCGGTTCGAGTGATGGAATATAGCATGATTAGTCATGTGTTTTGTTTGTGTGTTGTTCTTGTTCCAGGATCACATCGCCCGATCTCGTTACGTCCACGGAGACCTGGCCGCTCGGAACGTGTTGGTCGGAAAACGCCTGCATGTGAAGATTTCTGACTTCGGGCTGGCAGAAGACATGTATACACGAGGTTACCGTCGGCAGGACCGGCTCCAGAGGGTGCCCATAAAGTGGATGGCGCCGGAGCGGCTGGAGGATGGGAAAGCCTACACCACACAGAGCGATGTGTGAGTAGTTTTATCATTATTAGACCACAGCAAGTAAATTTTAGGGAATGACATCCTCCTCAGACTCCAACTTTAATGCGATATGGTGAAAAAACAAGGCGGAAAAGACAAACTGATCCACATTTTCAAATGTCATCTTTTAAAGTTCCTGTGGCCTTATATCAACTTTCCCTAACAGGTGGTCCTTCGGGATAGTGCTGTACGAGATATGTTCGCTAGGGGGCGATCCTTACCCTGGTGTGGCAGTATCCGAGCTGAAACACCGCCTGCAGACTGGATTCAGGATGGAACAGCCCGAAGACTGTCCCCGAGCCATGTAAGTAAGGTTTTTTGCACTCTGATGTGAAAAATCAGTTTTTGTTGTTTTCATAGGACCATGAATAAGGTAGGAACGGAAGCACCTACTATTGAAAAGTACAAGTAACTACTCTTTATCCTGCTCACTACTAGTGTCAAATAAGCATGTTATTCCTCAAAACTGAAGCAAAGTAAAATGCAGCTTTACGCTCTACGTCTTGTGAATGAAGTAACAGAGCAATTAGCTAAAGGACCTAAGTGACTGTAGTTCAATTGACGATAGGTATTCGCTTCTCCACAGGTACGATGTGATGCAGCAGTGCTGGCGCTGGCAGCCCATCCAGCGGCCGTCCTTCAATATGTTGTATCTAACATTGGACAAGCATCTCGCCTTCTACGGACCCGAGTACTTTCTTAATTGACAATTTTTGTTGGAAAGATACTACTGTAATTTTATTACTCGGTGCATGTAAGTATAGTAGCTTGATTCAAGATGCACAAAATTTAGTGCAAGTTATGTACATTATATAGGACTTTGTTTAGAAGATAGATAACCAAGGTAGATATTCCATAATTCCGTTTTTTCATGGCATGATATTTTATAATTAATTGGAAAATCATATAATTAGTTAGTGATACTTAACGATTTTATACTAGTGCATTGACACCGGTAACTTAACCAAAGATGAACTGTACAAATATATACATTATATGTCATCTTATAAATTTATTGCACAGTAAACTATTTTTAAAGTTTTTAAATATGTATCTATTAACTTTTTACTGTCGCTCGTTTTGTTTTCATATTATTTATGCCAGTACCCTTTCTAGTTTTGCGAACAGCATGGTTTGCGTTATGATTGTTTATACAATTTCTACTGTATTATTAAGTTTTCGTCAATCTAGACAAAATCAAAGTCTTGTTTATTTTGTTTAAGATTGATAAAAGCTTCTTGACTTTCGTTTATCAACATACACTTTTTCTTTATAATATTTGTACATTATTTTGATATTAAGCATTATTTTTTTGTCATTACATTGTACCCGTAAAACTTTGTTTATGTTTGAGGATCCGTGGAACTTCTTTGTGTTGTTTTGTTATTTTAAAATGAAATAATAAAAAAGGAAAAAAAATAGGTGTAGTCTAAAAAACATATATCTGAAACATTTTCATTTGTTTTAGAAGGAATGGCCAATAAATACTCCATTTTATGAACAGTGGGATTTGTGATTTTAGCACTATAGTGAATTCCTTCGTTCCCTCATGCTACGTATCTTACCGGCGTTTACCTTACCTTAGACCGGCGATGAGAGTACTGAATTGAACAGGTTGCTTTCCGTTATTTCCGGGTATATCATCATAACTACCAGAAAATGACAGGACGAAAGCAATTACAGTTAAGTGTGTATCTATAGTAATAATGATAATAAAGAATTTACAGGTCAAGAAATGAATGCACAACACTGGTACATAAATAACCTCCCATAGAAACGATACATCTAATTCTCACTGTGACATTGAATACACTATAGAATTTAAATAATACAGTCTTCGAAAAACACACAGGACCTTTCGACAGTATACTTATTGGTTCGTGTCCAAGCAAGTGCTCTCTCCTTTGTACTGTCGTATTAGATACTGCCCTATGGCCTTGCTAAAGATATGCCTCAAGCGGAATATTAATTGGATACTACTTTGCAATTGTAGCCTCCAAAAGATAGGCTTCGAACCGCGCCTTAATTGGACATTGCTGTCTTGCCTAGCTATTTGATACTGCCTTCAGTGCCCCTTGTCAATCTGATAAAGCCAGTAAGCAAGGAGGTCAGACGTTATACAAGAAGTCACCAAAAGACTGTTTCGAGCAGTATATTAATTGGATAAGGTTTTGACATCTAATACTACCTTGTAGCCACAGAAAATCTGCTTCGGGTCGGCTATGAAACATGTACGAGTAATTCTCCTGAATACACTAGAATACAGATAATACAGTGTCACATAGAAAACACAAGACCTTTCGAAATTTCAATTCAGCCTCCTTTAAACTGATCTACTACACCACTGTCCATATTGATTGACTGACAAACAGAGGCTGGATTTAAAATACACAATAAATTTACAAATTTGTACAAAAAATATACATATCCTCATACCTGTATAGGAAAAGTCCCAGATGTTTCGGACTTCACTGGCACATGTAGCAATCTTCATTACACAGTGTTGATCAGTCCATAACAACATACGGTTACTGATTCGTTCATTTCCAAGCTAGTGTTCTTTCTGTGAGTCGGCTTGTTCGCTGACCACCGACGGCGCCCTGTTGCTCTTCACAGCTTTCCGTGGAGATGTCCAGGGAAACTTCGACATGGCTGGCCACCTGTTGTTGAGGCGTGCGTTGGGTTGTAGTCGGCACCGTGTCGTCTTTTTTAGGTGGTTGGCGTCGGCGTTGCTTTGCAGACTCGACCCGACCCCGTCTCCACGCTGTGACGACGGCCTCTCTGATGCGGTTGAATTTTGCGAGCACTGCTCCTCTCAGCGCGGGCACGCGAAGACCGTGAACTAAAGGATTGACTAGAGAGTTCAGGAACGCCAGAAGCAGCCCCCACTGGCCGAAACCGCGGACGGGGCAGCTGCTACGGTAGGCCTCGCAGATGCGGTGAGCTGCGAGAAACGCGAAGAACAACAGCCAAGAAACAAACGCCACGAACACGACAGTCATCACGGCTTTGACTTTCTTGATTTTGTCTTGGCTGTGCGGTTTCGGCGTTGGTTTGTCCGGCCGGTTGGACTGTCCAGGTCTCGGGCTTGTAGCCAGCGGTGTTGGGATGTCCGGCCGGTTGGATGGTCCAGGTCTCGGGCTTGTAGCCAGCGGTGTTGGGATGTCCGGCCGGTTGGATGGTCCAGGTCTCGATTCCTTGGCCAGCGGTGTTGGGTTGTCAGGCCGGTTGGACGGTCCAGGTCTCGGGCTTGTGGCCAGCGATGTAGCGTTGTCCGGTCTCGATTCTGTGGCCAGCGGTGTTGGTTTGTCCGGCCGGTTGGATGGTCCAGGTTTTGGTCCCATTGCCAGCGGTGTTGGGTTGTCCGGCCGGCTGGATAGTCCAGGTCTCGGGCCCGTTGCCAGCGCTGTTGGGTTGTCCGGCCGGCTGGATGGTCCAGGTCTGGGTAGTGTGGACAGCGGTGTTGGGTTAACGTTGTCCGGCCGACTGGATGGTCCAGGTCTCGATTCCTTGGTCAGCGGTGTTGGGATGTCGGGCAGGTTGGACGGTCCAGGCTTTGGTCCCGTGGCCAGCGGTGTTGGGATGTCCGGCTGGTTGGATGGTCCAGGTCTCGGACCTGTGGTCAGCTGTGTTGGGTTTTCGGGTCGGTCGGACGGTCCAGGGCTCTGTCCCGTGGCCAGTGTTGTTGGGTTGTCCGGCCGGTTGGATGGTCCAGGGCTCTGTCCCGTGGCCAGTGTTGTTGGGTTGTCCAGTCGGTTGGGTGGTCCAGGTCTCGATTCAATGGCCAGTGGTGTTGGTTTGGACGGCCCAGGTTTCGGTCCCGTGGCCAGTGGTGTTGGGTTGTCCAGTCGGTTGGATGGTCCAGGTCTCGATTCCATGGCCAGCGGTGTTGGGTTGTCAGGCTGGTTGGATGGTCCCGGTCTCGCGCTCGATCCCGTTGCCAGCGGTGTAGCGTTGTCCGGCCGGTTGGATGGTCCAGGTGTGGGTCCCGTGGCCACCGGGCCTTTGCTTGCCTCTCCGTGGCGCCCAGTACCTCGTGGCCCGGCGGGTTTCCTGTTCTGCAGCCGCTTGACTTCCCGGTAGACGCGGATGTTCGCCCACAGCATCACGGACACAAGCAGCAGCAGCATCACGATGACGAACACGTAGAAGTCTAATGTCAGGTAGCTGGAACACCTACCGCTGAAGGCGTACTTCTCCTCCAAACAGTTCCATCCCATATGGGACGAAAAGCTGGTCAAGGTGATGACTACCCAGGACGCTAGGATCACCACGCTGGCTTGCCGTCCGGTCACCTTGTTGTGATACACGACGGGATGTAGGACAGAGATGTAGCGGTCTACGGACAGTAGGGTTAGCGCACTCGTGGACAAGAGCGTTGCGTAGGCGGCGAGCGTTCTTGTACCCAGCCGCTCCCACAGACTTGGCGTTTCTGGCCTGGCTGCAAAATACACGCAGGCGACGCCCGTCGCTAGATCGGCACACGCTAGGTTCGCTATGTAGTAGAACAGAGCCTTTCGTAGCTGTTTCGTCCCTAGGATTCCCCACAGCACGACGGAGTTAAACAGGAGGACGAAGGACCCCACGATGCCCATACACGCTCTGTAAACGGTTGCACCGCCGAATGGACTGCCGTACACGAAACAACGATCGTTCGCCTCGTGGTAGGTGAAATTTCTTTTCACGTACCAGTGGTAACAGTCTAGAGCGTCGAGGAAAGTCTCTTCTGCAACGGAGGGGAACAGGGTGGCATTAGATGCGTTGAACTCCATCATTACTACAAGTCCACCGGGATTTTCTGTATAGCCGTTATAACGGTTGCTCGGTGTAACACACCGGCTTCGCAGGCACACGCGCGCCGGCAGCTACGGCATCGTTTCGATTCCCCAACGATCGGTTCTGATAGTCACATCAACACTGCGTTGGCGTTTGTGGTTTTTCTTCGTGGTAAAGTCAGTGTAATTACGCATGCTCATGAAATATGACATGCGCTTGCGTCAGGATGCATAGCAACTAAAATGCCCTAAAGTGAGTTTGCAACTGACAATCGTCATACATATATATATATATATATGTATAGTATAATTAATACAACCTTTACCAGATCATAATTACCATATGGCAGACCTTTCATGATGGGAAATTGCCTTCAAGCCATTGATTGTGTTGTAAGTCTTGATGTTGAAGATCCAGAATAACTAACCAATGACAGAGCGTAGCTTCCATCATCACCATATTTGGCATCTTCATCCACAGACAAACAAGTTCCAACCTGATAGTTGGAACTAAGTTGAAGTCAACTTTTCTTAAACCTAAAAGTGGAAACAAGAACTCATCTTAAAAAATATTCCTACTGCATTATGTAGCATCTCGTCTATTAAGTTGGCTTATATACAGTTGTTTGGTGTCGATTTCCTAATTTTTACAGAGGAGTTGTCTACCAGATTCGATGGGTTGATGGAAAAATAATAAAATTGGCATATTAAATAGGCCGAATAATTTGATAGAGGTGTAAGCCGGAAAACAGTTATATTAATAACGTGCAATCTCCTCTGGCAAATTATATAGCCGATGTGGTCAATTTTTACAATCTTTTCCCTGCTACTGGTAGTGACTGCTAGCTGTTGGATGTCCCTCTCGCCATTTCTACCATTCTTCCTTTGTCGCAAATCTTTGACTGCGATCCAAAAGGTGAGTTTGGCTCAAGTACATGCAACCATCCAAACACTGAGACATAATTGGTGGTTTACGCACAGAACGAATTAAAGACGAGTGCAATTTCCTAAAAGCCCTTTGGCGCTGCGGCGCGGCTCTTGAGTCCTAGACAAAAAGCAAAAACTTCAAAAACAGCCAAAGTTCATATCGTATTACCTTTGTATTTCTCATGCGGCAGTTCCCACTTAACAGCATTTAGCAAAAATAAAAGTATTTCCTAAAAGCCTTTCGCTCTCGAGTCTGACATGAACGGTTAAAACACTGTTTTGTATTGTCTTGTATTGTATATATAGATCCTGCGAGGGTTCCTTCTCGAAAAAAGGGCAAGTAACGTTGCTGTTGATTGATTTTCGAAAGACGTGGTGAGATGAGGAGGTGAAGGCCTGTGAAGCTACCTAACTTACGACCTATCCGGTTCCTACCAATACGCGTACACACACACACACACACACACACACACACACACACACACACCACACACCACACACACACACACACACACACACACACACACACACGAATATATATGTGCGAATATATATATAACGTTATATATATAACGTTATATTCGCACATTCGCGTACACGTACGCGTATTGGTAGGAAGGATAGGTCGTAAGGAATAGTTAATCGTCTCCTTTTAGTTTTGACAGATTACGATGATGTCATCATAAGATTACCCCTTAAAGTTCAGGATATGAAGAAAAAAAAACAATCCATGAGTGTGTCCACGGACTTGGGCTGTCCGTCGCAATCCACATCCACAGCACAACTGAGCGAACACATAGCACACTCTTCTACGCGGTACCTATTATGTTCGAAAGAGCATTGTAGAACAGAACGTATTCGCGTATTCGTTATTTCTATCACGGCTTTGATCGTGAAAACAGGTGGAGCTTCTGATACATGTTTTTTTCTCTAGCTGCACGCTATATACGGATTTTTCTTTGCAATTTTGTCTTCGCCTTCACCATCAGTTTTTGGCGTAACTGCCAATTCTATTAATACGTTTTGAGGGGGTGTGTCTACTCCTGCACGACTCACGATGAACAGCATCTGGAGAAGACAAGCACGTTGAGTGTTGAATGGCTTCAGAACCGGAGAAAACATACTACTTAGGCCACAGTAGTACTACATGTTATTAATAGTCAGTCATATTTTGCAGCACCCAAAAATGACAAAGCAGGAAACATAGAACGTTGTGTATCATCTCCATATATGTCTACGCTGGTAACACAAAGTAATGAAGAACATACGTTGTTCGATAATTCCTCACTTCATTACGGTTCTGCTTTCTTTATTTGCATATTGTTGGGTCGTCTGTAAAGCTACTTACAGTCTTCTTCGTCGCCAAATTGGAAAAAATCTGGTGGCTTTGAGAACAAATTCAACAAGCTACAAATATCTTTAGAATTACAACAACGTCGTCACCGCGCTCTAGCAAATGCTGTCCATAGCAGCCGTCACCCTGGAAAAAATAGAAATAACGTTTACCTCTTTACAAATAGAAATGACGTCAAATCAGTAACCTATGTCTTTTATAGAATACACATAGCTACAAATTCACACACACACACACACACACACACACACAAAACACACACACACACACACATGCACACACACACAACACACACACACACACACACACAAACACACACATATTTACACACACAAACACACATACAGATATACACAGAACACACACACACACACACACACACAAAAACACACATAAATATACACACACACAAATATGAACACCACACACACACACACACACACACACACACACACACACACCACACATACATACATACATAAATACATGCACACAAAAACAATACCAGTGTTGATTTTAATGTGTCGTGAGGTGTCTCACCTGTCCAGAGGCACCTGTTCCTCACACAGGTTGACCAGGGTGTACATGTGGCGCAGGGCGTGCTCATACTGCAGTAACACAGAGAGATTTACAGGATAAAATTGTACCATCAAAATACACTAAATGTTGATTGAAAAGAACAGTCAAGCCAGGAACGTCAGTATTGTTGTTCAGCGTTTTAAAGATAAACTGATGGCTTTCAAACAACGTTAGAAATAAAATGACAATGTTCGTATATTGGGAAAGGAGGGGTAATACTATCACTGGTTGTATCCGCTGTTTTGTCCAGCAAAAAAGGCAAGGATACAAAATCGGTGTTTAATCTGAGCAAGCCAAAACAAAAAACAAAAAAAAAACATATGCATCTAATCAACTTTTCGCACTACTGTAATGAGACAGCGACTAGAATATGCTGTATGATAGTATTGATACAGATACATGTAACGTTATATGTATACAGCAGTTGTGTATAGATGTATCATCTGACCTGCGACAGATCGTAGCACTTGTCGTGGAAGTAGTTGACGGCTGCCTTGTAGCAGGGGCGGGCGGTGATTTCACGATGGTGATTGACGAGGATGTCCGCAGCCTTGTCCGCGTCATCCGTTGCCATGGTGACTATATCCTTCATGGTCTGGGCGATGCTCGTCCGGAGCTGTCGACCGGAAAGAAATTAAAAGAAAAAAATTAAGGGCACCTAAAGTGATTTAAAAAAAATTAAGGCTCTCGGTGGCCAATATGAGATGTTGTCACATCGGCGCACCAAATCCGTAAGGTGTTTTTGGCACCCTGACAGACAGATTAGCCTAAGAGGCTCGGTGGACGTCACTCCACTGTATAGATGGTGAAGTCGTGTAAAGTGCCTTTCCCAAGGGCACAACGTCGGGCCACGGTGAGTATCGAACCCGGGACCTATTGGTTCCAAGTCCAACGCTCTAACCGTTGCGCCACCGACGCCACAGTAAAGTGATTTCAGGGCAGTAAAACTGCATTTCACAGTTAATTTCCTGGTTATTTTCTAAATGTGGTTAGTGGAATCAACCCTATGCCTATCCCATAGCATACTGATATCCGTAAGGCAAAAATGCGATGTGGCTGACGGAAACTGTTACTTGTTTCGTATCGTATAGGGTGGTTCTAGTATTTATGGGTGATACCCCAAAAATAAAGGGACTACTGATGTAGGTTGCTTTGGTGATTATTTCAATCGCTTCAAGTATGAAATGATGATGAAAATGTGCTAAGAAATGGCAGTAATGTCCATATCAGACAAATTTCCTTATCCAGAATAATTTTTCTTTGCCGCCCTGAAATTGAACTGGATGCCTTAGATACACCATTGATAGAAACATTATAGATGCTGTATATTTTACTGACGTTGAGCTCCTCCTTCAGCTCGGCCAGCACGGCCTGCCTCTCCTCCTCGGACTCCGCGGTCTCCAGCCGGAGGTTCAGGATGGCGAGCGGCACGTCAGGGGAGGGGACCGCGTCATGCTGCGGAACAATGGAACACGCGTTTTGTTCGAATGACGTCAGATCGAACATGGTGGAACATGATTCGGATTCGAAAAAAAATTCTGTTCAAAAATAGAACACGCGTTCTGTTCGAATGGCATCAGATCGAACATACATGGTGGAACATGATTCGAATTCAAAAAAACTACTGTTCGAAAATGGTACACGCGTTTTGTTCGTATGACATCAGATCGAACATGCATGGTGGAACATGATTCGAATGCGAAAAGAAATTCTGTTCGAAAATGGAACTCGCGTTCTGTTCGAATGGCTTCAGATCGAACATAGTGGAACATGATTCGAATTCCAAAAAAACTACTGTTCGAAAATGGTACACACATTTTGTTCGAATGACGTCAGATCAAACATGGTGGAACCTGATTCGAATTCGAAAAAAAAACTTTTACAAAATGGAACATGCGTTCTGTTCGAATTATGTCAGATCGAATAATTCTGGCGCCTTCGTATGCATATATGGCGTTGCTTACCTGGACCTTTCTGTAAGGTTTGAGGGGGGCGGACGGGTAGTTGATGGTGCTCTGGTACAGTCCAATAATGTCGTTTTTCATGTTCTGATAAAAGAAGAAGATAACATTGTTGAACAGAAAAGAAAAAGAATGAAAAATTCGAATGGGACTATAGAACACATCCCAAATTCTCTGCCCGCGGTAGTACTCACCATGTCGCCATATTCCTGCACGTGACTCCGGTTGGTCAGCATCTTCACCTTCTCAAACTGCTGCTCAAGGGTCTCCTTAGAAACTTGTTCCTAATTTGGACAAGCAACACAATGATGCTGTTTACTGCATGGACACGCTAAAAGAATAATACAAGGAAAATAATAGAAACTTTATTTGCAAAATCATGCCAGAAGGCTAATTGCCTTTACAATCAAGTATAATACTCATTGCAATACAGTAACAGGAGACAGGTAACAACTGTCTGGAAAAAAACTTCTACTACTACGCTAGCTATTATGGGGTTCGACTTCTTCTTTGAAGGCAGTGGATAATGAATAGTGCCACACTCTGCATAATTAGTGGATTTTGTGATCTTAGTAGAAATGCAGTCTTTTGGTGATCTTCTAAATGACGAAAGGATGGAGAAATAATAAACTACATAAATTTTGGAAGAATTATAAAGACAATTGAAAATAGGATCGATCGATGATCCAAGATTCTCCCTGGTAATTTGTCAGTGCTGAATCTCTTGGCTATCTTGTTTACCGGTGCTCCCATATTCGCTCCCTAGAAATACGGGCGAGTGAGTATAAAGAACCTCGTACCATATCGGATAGTACTCACTACGACAGAAACGGCAAAACATAATGATGACTCTAGTACTACCAATGGGTCGTCCTTCTCAACGAGGATCGATATTATACGGTCTCAACCACACAATCGCAATAGTGCCCTTTCATTGTTATCATTCAATCATTGGATAGGGAAATGGACTTGCGCTTAATTTCATTTTGTACATATTTTGAAGTGTATGTTCATTTTCTTTATTCTATGTATTTATTTAGTGGCCGTGGTGTCAAATAACTTCAGTGCGCCATCAATAGGTCGAGTATTCTGTTTGTGTGTATGATTGATGAAAAAACACTCAGTCAAAACGGCCATGTATAATGATAGCGTCCACCGTATAAGTCCTAGGATAGTGCGGCCAGCTGTGGCAGCCGCGGTGGTGTAGCTGTGCGTGGGAGGGCGATGTCCTTGGTACTGAAAGGCCGGCGCAATGCTTGGTTGAGGCTTATTTAATTGTAATTCGGTACCTTCAGTGAGCGGGTGAGAGAAACGACAATTGCTGTAGATAAATATATATGGCCTGTTCAGAAGTCAGAATGGTGACAGAATTCTGTATCTGTATCTGTATAGCCGGTATAACCGCCTTTCGGCATAACACACCAGCTTCGCAGGCACGCGGCGCGGCGGCAGCTGGCTATATTACACCGATCGACCTGTTACACCTAACCCTTGCACTTCTAGCTCTAGGTTAGAATTGAGAAGTAAACTAGACATAGGAGGTATCAAAGAAGATGTAATTCAGTGGATGAAATTTAAAAGACTTGTTTGGTTTTCAATTATCTCAAAATGATGACTGTTTCTTATCCGTGAATAGTTTCATCAGGTTCGTTTACACAACTAATGTGAACCAGTCAGAATTGCCCTGAGAGAGTAACAGACGGCTGAATAAAACACTTGGTTGTGTAAAAATAGTCTCTTTATTCAGCGACTTACCAACCTGATGAAACTATTCACGGATAAGAAACAGTAATCATTTTGCAGTAGTCGAAAACCAAACAAGTCTTTTGATAAATTTAATACACTGAATTACATCTTCTTTGATACCTCCTATATCTAGTTTACTTCTCAATTCTGTCACCCTTCTGATTTCTGAATAGGTCATCTATATATAGCTACAGCAATTGTCGTTTCTCTGGCCCGCTCATTTAAGATACCGAATTACAATTAAATAAGCCTCAACCACCCATTGCGCCGGGATTTCAGTACCAAGGACTAAATTACTAGTACATCCTCTTTGATACCTCTTTAGTCAATGACTGTTTCTTTCTTACCACATCAGAATCCTCCATCCAGTTGACGCTGTACAGATCAAGCTGGTGTGTTACGCCGAAGGGCGGTTATACCGGCTATACCGATACAGGTACAAAACTCTTCCCCATACCCCATTCATAGCTCTCCTCAACTCTTCCCCAACGTGGCCTTACCACGTCAGAGTCCTCCATCCAGTTGACGCTGTACAGATCACCCAGGTATGTCTTCCGCTTCGTGTCCATGTAACACGCGTAGGAAGACTCCTTACCGTTCGCAGCGGTGGTCGCGAAAACTTCACAAGGAAAAAGAGAAAGAACAAGATTAAAGAAGAAAATAAACTCTTTCTATCGTTTGAATGGAATTGAAATTTTCTGGAATCGTACGAATGATTTTCATAACTCTCAAATCATTGTTAATGCAATGACAAGTGGCCTAATAGTAATACATACAGTAGAACATTTTTCATTATTATAAGAAGTAAAATGATAGGCGCTTGCAGAGATGTGTGATACAAGGACTAGGGAAACAGAGATGGGCGAATGGGACACGATATAGAGTCGGACTTTAACTTAGAGTAATAAATAATAGACAAACGGGCGGATAGAAATACTTGTCACTCACTGTTGATGTTGTCCGGGAGAATCTTGTCAAACATGGAGCCGGACTCACAAGACTCCAGGTAGAACACCAGCTGGACAATGTGTTCAAAACAGTTAGTGATGTAAAATAAGGTATTTTTTTGGTTGGATGTATGAGGAAATAAGTAAATATCGAAGTTGTGTTTGGCATTGAAACGCGACGGGTTTAAATTTTGAGCAAAGTCAACCAAGGATTGAGGTGTTCAATAATTCATTCTTTCCTAGAAGTATCACAGAGTGGAACTTGCTGTCACCAAGTATACAGTAGGGGCATTGTCAATAGATAGCTTTAAACAATGTCTCGAGTTAGAAGTTCAAGGGTTAGGTGTAACAAGTCAATCGGTGTAGTGTAGCCAGCTGCCGCCGCGCCGAGTGCCTGCGAAGCTGGTGTGTTACGACGAAAGGCGGTTATACCTGCTATACAGATACAGAAGCTGGTGTGTTACGCCGAAAGGCGGTTACTACCTGCTATACAGATACAGAAGCTGGTGTGTTACGCCGAAAGGCGGTTATACCTGCTATACAGATAAAGAAGCTGGTGTGTTACTCCGAAAGACGGTTATACCGGCTATACAGATGCAGAAGCTGGTGTGTTACGCCGAAGGGCGGTTATACCGGCTATACAGATGCAGAAGCTGGTGTGTTACGCCGAAGGGCGGTTATACCGGCTATACAGATACAGAAGCTGGTGTGTTACGCCGAAGGACGGTTATACCGGCTATACAGATACGGATACAGATACAGATACCTTATTGAACTTGCCCTCCTGGTGCATCTCCTTGAGCGTAGTGACCAGGTCGTCTGCGTGCAGCATGCCTCCGTGCGGCATGGCCACGATCCCGGGCGCGCCGTGGTCAGTGTAGTACACAAACACGTTATCGTGGGGGCCGCTGGGAGGCCAGGAAGGGAGTCTCAGTGGTGTAAACTTGTGAATATCAAAGTTCTTTATTATGACACACAAGCAAACACACACACAGAGAGAGAGAGAGAGAGAGAGAGAGAGAGGGAGATAGAGAGAGGGAGAGAACGATAGACAGAGAGACAGATATAGAGATTCAGAGAGAAAGAAATTGAGAGAGAGAGAGAGAGAGATGCAAACACACACTCACACACACACACGGACAGTCACACCCAAAACAATACCTCCATACTGGTGGAGGTAACATACAACGCAATGTTGTTATTTTATGAGGACTACTGACCTCTCGATGACCTTCCCGCTGCCTATCCCGGCCACGCCCTCTCGGTCTCCCTTCAGCACACGCAGGAAGTTCTTAGCGGTCACGTCCTAACCGGAAATGACGTACGTATACAGAGGATGTGAATATTACTGCATTATAATATGTAATATTACTGCACTAATTGAGTATATTGGGGAGGTGGTGGCATATTGTCTAGCATCGACATCATTGTTTCAAAAGGAACATTTACAAAAGTACAACAGCTAGCATTTAAACGTCTACTGCACTATCATCATGTAGTAGGTACATGTAGTACACAAAACAATATAGCAGAAACGAAAATGAAATTTTATTTTTTTAGTAAATAATGGTAAAAGTATCAGATTCGCTGATGTTGGGTTTGTTTTGATTGGCGCATTGTGACTTACGAATCTGGTGTAGTCCTTGGGAACTCCATGGTACACGTCTGGTCCGTCAGGGTGGTTGATGATGACTCCTTTGGTGGGGTTCCTGGTCCAACAAACACAGAACAATGATTCAAGATATATAATAGTTAAAGGCTGATGAAATACAATTAAAAACATAGAATGACAGGGACATGTGGGGCTTGCTATCGGTACCGACTTCTACCGTACCCTGCATGATACTTTGAGCTTTTAAAGATGGTATCATCCTTACTCAAATATCGGCCGTGCTTGATAATGATGCCTTAGTTGAATATGTCTAAGAAACATTGTAGTGACTAAGTCATATAAACTAATATGGCATTCGCATCATATTCCATGGCATTTGTTTGCATGTATGAAGGACTGTATGGCGTAATGGACTGGTATCAATAGACACCAGACTCCTTTGCAGGATAAATAAATAGTATAAATCGGCCCAAGAAAATGTAGCTGGTCAGAGGAGTTGGCCGGCCATAGAGGCTCCAGTTTGCAAATTGGACCCTCTAGACCTATGGCCGGCCAACTGTCCTGGCCAGCTACATCTTTAAGGCCGATTTCTACAATCTATTTAGCCTGCAAAGGAGTCTGGTGAGGACTAGCTCTACCAAGAACTATTATTATTGTTTGACCCCCCTCTTCCCAAATGTACACTCGACACCCATGAAAAGCGGCCCAAATTGACCGAATGGGGTACTCTCTTAATCGAGTATAAATAAAGGCACAAACAAACAAACAAACCTGATGTTGTGAGCGAGATCGTCCGCCATCATGACCACGATCCTCTCATCCGGGATACCGTTCCTGTGCAGGATCTGGTAGGCGTGGCACACGTCAGCCTGGGGGTGGGTAAAAAAAATTAAGGCTTAACTAGAAAGGTAACATTTGCAAATCATATGCATAATGTTTACCATGGTGTAATGTAGCTAGCTGCCGCCGCGCCGCGTGCCTGCGAAGCTGGTGTGTTATACCGGCTATACCGATACAGATACAGATACCTTCGCATATGGTCTGCTCTGTTAATTCTTACACAAACATATTCATATATATGGTCACAGGAGTCTAAATCCCTCCTGCTATAAATTTGCAACATGATGTAACCCAACACCAGTTACCATGGTAACAGACAGTTTGTTTTACTGACTTGAACGAGAAAATGGGGAAGTTGATATCCTACAAAATATTAACTAATCAACATTGAATAGTTCGCGTTGATTCGGTCCCTTGTTTAATAACCGACGTGGGATGTGGTGTACTGTGTACATTTCATTGCTGTTACATCATTTACTAGCAAAGTAAATCTACATGGTTAGATGCCAATGACGTTGTGAAGAACTCGAGTAAAGCACGTGATCGAAGTGTGTTTCCCGGTAAAAAAACGTTTTATTTGCCATCAATAACCTTAAGTGCGTCGTCGGAAGCAAAGTCCGAAACTACTAGTACTTCGTCTCATGCTAACGTTCGTGGGTCCCAAACTTCCCTTTTTTGGGTGTTTTATTGTCAATATATGTATTAATAACGCCATCCAAATCTAAAAGGGAAAATCCAATTTATTCCTTTTTTTCCGTCTGGAATTTCCGTCTTCTCACCAACAGCGCTGCTAAAAGCCTCGCGGTATTTCAGAAAGATAACTTCACTGTCGCTTTGCAACTTAAAGCTGTCACGATTATAGCATCACAAGAAATATAAGGGCAGTCTCAGTATTGAAGTCTGACAAGTACATATTTCCAACCATGTCTATGATCAAAATATGAACTAAGTTTGTCTTATAATTAGTATGCAACCTAACAACAATAAAAAAATATGTCCTATTTGTATAACCCTATAATGTCACGATGGCATAGGACATATTTACCATAAACAATCCGTTGTAGACATGTTAAAAAAAGATCAATACATCAAATCGTAGATATTACAGAATCAGAAGGATATAGAGTATATAGGGTTACTGTGAACAATGACGTCCGAATGGGAAACGGTTTGGATTTTCACAATTCTTTTTCATTTATCAGGATGTTTTCTAAAAAGTGTTTTGCTAATAACTGGCATCCACTGTGCATTGTCTGGCTTCAGTCTAAAGGCATCCAGTGCGATTTCAGGGCAGCAAAACTGGAAATATTCTAAATAAGGAAGTCTTTGTCCTATTTACACATACTGCTTCACATTAGCACATTTGAGTCAGCATCTCAGACTTTGAGCTTAAAACTGCAAAAAACAAGCCTCAAAATTAGTTCGTCATTTATTTTCTGGGTGGTACCCCAAAAAATCACCCCGGGGTCCTTCCAGTAACCATTTCCTTCAGAATTTTCGACTTTTTGCTTCATGAGTGTCAAGATATATTGGGATAGTATGTTAACTCATGAGTATGTAACGTTAGATAAACTAGAACATTTGCTTTGAAAAAAAATCGTGTTTCCAAGCCCTAAAAACTGCACCGGATGCCTTTAAAAAAAGAGGCAACATTAATTTTTCATTCAAGCATAAATTAGCATCATGGCGCAGGTACACGTAAACATACCTGGTGACGATAGTTTCCCCAACCGGATTTTTCTAAAAAGTGTTAATACATGTAACTGGCATCCACTGTGTATTCTCTAGCTTCAGTTAAAAGAAGGGGGCAACATTTTTCAATTGAGTATAAATTAGTATCGTGGCGCAGGTAACATACGTAAACTTATAATGCTCCCTATAATTTCCTGGCTATAATTTCCTGTCTTTGAATCCGCGTTGTTCGCAACCTGTTATCCACCTTAAATCCAAGCGAATTCGAAGGCCATCGACGGTCAACCCTCACTCAGGTGAATTAAGGGACTGACACGGTCTCCATTGTCCCTCGAGACAGAAGGATGCCAACAAATGTTAGTCCGGTGGAGACAAATTAAAGTAAGTTTCATGGCGCAGGTAAACATATAGCCCATACCTGGTGACGATAGTTCCCCCAGCCGGTTGAACCGGCGATCAACACCGCCCAGTTCACTCCCGGCTCCGGTTCGGCCACGGGGATAGCCTCCTCAAAATCCGCCGGGAACCCAAGAACAGCCCCGAACAGGGACAAAACCACGATGGCAAGCATGTTGGAGGTGCTAGCGAGACAGCGAGACAGAAAAGTACGTCTGATACAAGCAAAACGGCGGAGGGAAAACAGAAAAGGCGAACTTTGGACTGGTGAAAAATCACGAGGTTTGCAGGTGGTTGGGTGGGTGGGACCATGGGTTGCGTTCGGTCATGTTTGTATATTATGTCACACTGCAAATATGCGGAGAAATATTGCTGTATGGACAATGGTTCCCTATCTGCGTTGTAAAAGCACACAAACATGTCCTAACATGTCGATAAAGCACTTGAGGGGGAATTACTTGATCTTGGCAACCGCAAACTTGAATGAAGTTTATAGCTCTTTCTTTGAATTTGTAGAGCCTTTAATGATCAATTGAATTCCTCATTTCTTACCAGCGCTTCCTAAAATGTGTTGACTATAACAATGTATGTAATGTGAAAGTCCATAGAAATAGTCATTTTTCAGGAAAGATATTGCCGATATACTATCTCACGAAATAAAAATCTGACGCGATCTACAGCTAGGCAATGCAACGTGCAGCTTGTCCTTGAAATGCTAGAGGTCGCTTTTGAATAAAGCTGGTTGGTCGGGAAAGATAGAAAAGGTTGGCCACATGGAATTTCATTCGAATTTCAGTATTTCGGCTTTTTTCATAGTCTTTATAAGTCACTAGGCAAATTAAAAGATGGAAAACGTCCACTCCCTTTTTCAGCTGATTCCCCCTCCCCGGGCGACTTCAATGGTATAGTCCATCCCCTGAAAGTCCCCGGATGTTGAGATTTGTAGCGGTACTTTCCAATCAGGACACCAGTTGCAAGAGGAAGCCGACAGACATCTTCGCAAGAAAACGCAGATTTTTCCTCCAAATTTTCAGTTTTATCCGGGAAATTATCCTCAACTATCGTCGAAGGTATGTTGCTTGGCTTGTGTGGTAGGCGCGTGGATAGCAGCGGTATTTTGTAGCGTGTTTAGAGGATATTTTTCCAGACATTTATTCCGGCAAAATAACCCATTTTTTAATGGTACTGATGGCTGATGGGAGGGCGTGCATGGGGTTCACCAATATTCTATATTCCAGGCAGATTTCTCTTTGTGATTTTAATTTTTTCCAAATACCAACATTTGATTTAACTAGTGTGTATAAATTTAAAAGAGGTATCTTGTTTATCAAGGTTTACACTTTGATATTGATACGGAGTTGTATATTTTGTCCCCCATGTTGAACCTCAAAAATCATGCAATCTAAAATATTGTAAAATTTGTTGTTTTCCTTTCTTCATAAGAGCAATATTGTAAGAAGTGGAAGTATTGAACAGGTGCGATATTTTGTTTGTTTAGCTAACAATGATCATGTGATATTTTGAGACATGATTGGGACATATTATTTCCATCTAGTTCCCCAAGCAAAAAATGTGACACGTAAAAATCATATCCATCCATAAAATCTTCAGTCTTATAACTTGTGTATCTTAAGAAATTAGAGGATAATTTTCTGGCAAATGTTCAGTTTTTCTAATATCTAAGTCATTCCACAATTGTTTTTACCCGCTAGTTCCCCTTCCTCATTCTTCAAAACAAGTCAACTATGAGGTATCTTACTCTCCAAGCAGAGGTTGTGGGTGAATGATCGTTACCTTTTTATGTATGGCCGTTTTTTTTGTCGTTACCCCACCGACTACCCCCGGCTACCCGTCGGTGGCCGGCGACCTTCTCTCTGGCTAATGGATACTGCCTGACCTGTCTTGATACTGTGTTTTTGCCACCGATAGGGATCTGCTTGGAGATTAGAGATATCTGACTACTCTGTTTTTCTACAATGAAGGAAACTCTTGTCTGACCATGTGTTCCGTTTTCCTGTTGTGTATGTCTGATACTGACAGTATATAATGAATCATACATAAAGTAACATGTACGTGTTAATGTCACACAGAAAATGGTGAGCTTCCTCAGCTTTGTACCACTTGTTAGGATTTTTCATAGGTTTGTTTTTGCCACCTTTTATCAGATTATAGGAGACTTTATCTTAGGGAGACAATCTGTCAATGGTACTCTAGTAATTGCTTCCAGATGGGCATTTGGCAAGGAAACTACTAACAAAGTGCAACGACCTAGCTTGAGAATGAGATTCAAAACAAAATTTGGTGTGATGCAGAGCAAAAACATTTTATTACTACACGTGATTATACATGTGCAGACAATTGGTATAATCTAAATATTCGACAGACGTATGAATAATATACTATCCAAACTAGACAAGGCAAATCCTACATTACAATATTCCAGCTTTCTGCCTTTCTATCGAATCTGTTATTTTACCAGAAGCTTCTGTGTAGACGCATCTGTATAGCCAGTTGAACCGCGCATCGGCATAACACACCAGCTTGATACGGTTGTGAAAAATTCTAGAAAGGCACTGGAAAAGGAATTTTTTAATCTAGTTTGCCTTAAAATAACCTGTAGAGCACTTAAAACCATACCTGCATATTGTTTACATAATCCAGGTAAAAACTCTTTAACAGAATAGAACACCTGGTACCACGTAGAACAAAATAAACATTGAGACATGGATGATTGAATGAGGCATCAATGCGTTAATGGATCGTGAACTGAAGACTGGTACCTGACACTATATAACATAAAGCCCCGTGAGACCTTTTCTTTATGTGAAGTCACAATGATGTAACACTGTTTATAGAAAAGCCAGAATTTCCTGTGGTATTGTAGGTAGAGAAAGGAAAGGCACAGGTACAGGTAACATGAGTGGATGATTTTCGAACAATTTTCATGAGTCATGCTGATGATGTTTAACCTGGCATTGTGTATATATACAAAACAACCACAGTTGACTCATAATGGTTGTTAGATGACAATAAGTGCACTGACGTCACACATGTAGGCAGATCAGTGTTGTATGACTCCCCCATTGCCCCTTACACTATAAATCTGATATTGGTACAACAGGTATTATGTAGTGCATTTTCTTGATTGAATACCTTCCATCTAGCCTCTACCAGGCTTTGGGAAGGAGCTGGAAAGAGAAGAAAGTGGGAGCGCCAAACTGTTCTCTTAGTGTGGACCAACTCCCCTGGCATAATCTGTCTATTTGGCCAATTTCTTCTCTTTACAGATGCTTCTTGAAGCCTGGTAGAGGCTACCTTCCATCTACCGAATGAGGACCTGCATGCCTAATTTGCAATTGTAAGAAGTAATCAGGACTTTTTAGTCTTCGTAATCCATAGGCAGCCTCCCAAAAAATCGTAAAAGTACATTAGGCGTGAAGTTGTAATCAGCTATGAGAATTTAGCGTAATTTGTAATCGGGGGCGAAAATTTTGCGTAATTCGTACTCACTACCCCCCCTCCCCCATGCAGGCCCTCCTACATCATAGTACATGTAGATGTAGGAGGGCCTGCAAGGGGGGTCCCGACAACGCTCTACGCTGAATTCGGAAACCTCTCGATTACACTTTAGGATAAATTCCAAGTGGCTACAACGCATTACGTAGAATTAAAACGCCGAATACGCTCTACGCAAAAATATCAGAGCGGTCCGTCTGCGCTCTACGTAGAATTAAAACTGCCGATTATGCTCTACGGAAAAGGGCTTGCGGGCCCCCATGTAGTTAGTGTCCCTGTATTGTTACTGACCTGACATCTGTGTTGTGTCAGCCATATGGATGTCCTCACATTAGTGTTAAAGTGTCAATTACTCTGGAGCTCCACTCTGTAAAGCTTTTCTTGTCAGACCTCTTTAGCCATTATCAGATATAGGAGGTTTATACAAACTTCTTCATCTGATAAAATGAAAGAGGCTCTTGGCTGGAGAGTTTGTTGCAAAATCCATCCAGTTCTTCAGAAAGCGGTGCAATTGTAACCGGGAGGTCGTGAGACTTTAAAAATGGTACACACTTCTTTCTCTGCTTAGCACATATGAGAAAGAGTGTGGGAAGGTCAAGCACAGTCAGCATTACCAGTGGGCTAGCCCCCTGCTGTAGAGCCTTGCACAACTCATAAACTGTGTGTCACCCAAGGGCTACGAAATGGCGATAGGCACCACCCTACACTCAGCATAAGAGCACGAGAGACGACCTTCTTTTTCTTCAGAAAGAGTGAAAGACATCAATATATTGATAATGTCACAGTTTAGTAAGATATATTGTAAAAAATTTGGTAAGGTGTTGGTGTAACTGTAAGGGTTGAGAAAACAGCTGCCTGCACCATCCATGCTAATTGGTCTCTGAGAGCGTAAATCATAAGGGACGTGTGAGTTTAGCACCCAGGGCTTGGTGCACTGTGGACTCCTGATTATTCCTCAGGATATTCCTCTTTACAGTATTAGTAGTCTCCAAACAGATCTTTCAGCACCAAGAGACCAAGTCTAGCGATGTATTAGACGTTAAACAAGGACAACAACGACAATCTTCCCCTAGCCAAGACGGTATCCAACATTTAAGAGAGAGATTACGTATGTAGTGATCACCTTTATTCTGCTTTTTCTGCTCCATAATAGTATGGCCAGAGATGTAACATATGTTGGATTGTTCAAAAAAGAATTCGGTATCCTTCCCCCATATGGTTAAATTATAATTCCCCCATATGGTTAAATGATTTGCCCCTCTCACATGTACAGGGCAGGTGTGTGAATACACTGCTCTCATTATTACTCATTAGCATGGCCAGAAATGGAACATACGTGGAACATACGTGTTCCCCTTTTCACCATCTCCTAGGATTTGCCTGTACAATCATGTAAACCAGCACCAGGGAAAAACATGAATTTGGGTCACAGCACTCACAAATATGATCCTCCTTCCAGTCAGATGAAATACTCTCCAAGCAGAGGTTGGTGGGGAAGATTGTTACCTTTCCATACATTGTATGCCCAATTTTTTTCTGTTGAAAGAAAGAAAGATAGTGACAGAAAAAACGGGGCATATGATACATGTATATAGAAAGGTAACGATCTTCCCCACCAACCTCTGCTTGGAGAGTAAGATACAATTCTTTCATGCCCATTTTGTAATCATGCCTTTTTAGTCTTCAGAATCCATATGCAGGCTCTATAAAATCAACGTAATTCGTAATAGTACATTAGCTGCAAAGCGTGATGTCATAATCAGCTATCAGACGGCAAAAATTCTGTGTAATTCGTAATCACTACCCCCCCATGCATGCCCTCTCATAACTGCTGGCCTAGGCTTGTTCCAATTTGGCCAGCACAGACTTTCTCTTGGCAGTTATGCCAACAGATAATCTTCATGGGGATTAAAAATTTCACACGTCCAAATCTCTTTCTCATATAATGTTTGGTTAAAATTCTTGTGTTTCCCCCGTGGATAGTTTTACTAGCCGCACCTGTCCCAGTTTTTCACAGAGAACTGCCTCTCTCCTCCCCTGATATCGAAGATAACATCTTGCTGACATCATTTACCACAGGGTCCATCATGCTCACTTATCTTAAAATGATCAAGCTGCTACCAGTCGTTCCTTGTCAGCAGTTTGAAACCTTACTGTGTTTTCATGAAATTGACTATATTAGTGTTATACCACTTAGGTGTTAAATTGAGTATCAGCCTTTTTTAAGCTTTTGTTCGATCCCCACAATTTGATTCGCTATGGGCCAGTATAGCAGTAGCAGATTGTTGGAAGTGGACGAAAGCTAAAATTCAAAGTAAGAAGGCTGAAACTCAGGTTGATTGCTTGTGACTGTGAGTTATCATTTACGTAAAATTGATTTTTTTTTCTTCTGAACTTGAGTCTCAGATTTACGTAATTTTTTCTTCAGTTTAAAATTTTTTCTTCAAATTCCTGTTAGGTGTTTTTCTCTACATTTCAATGACCCAACTAAATTTATGCTCACTTTTACAGACCTTGTCCCTGATACATCCTGACTGATTTTGGCTGACAGTTCAAAGAGGCCAAGTCCTTAATTTATTATAAAAAGATTAGACCAAGGAGATCACTATCAAGTGTGCTTTAATGTCCAGTTTCTGGGAAAATGATCGTCTCTTCAGTGCAAGGATTTAGCATGGACTGATTTTTGCTGACACTGAGTGACAGTTCAAAGCCCCAAGTCCTTGTATTAAATAAAAGATTGGACCAGGGAGATCACTATGAAGTGTGCTTTAATGTCCAGTTCTGGGAAAGTGATCGGCCCTGTTCCGTATCAGGTCTTAAGTGCCAGGATTACGGATGGCGACGGTAACAAGTCCACCGGATGTCCTGTGGCTTACATGGCTGCGACCTTAATGATTCGAGAAAACAGCTGGAAAACATCGCAAGTTCAGCATCAATCTTTTCTTAAAGGTACCCCAAGCAATTTTAGGACAGCAATTTTCTGGTCATTCTTTTAATGTAAGTTTAATAAAAAAAATGCCACTTGTTTCGTGTCGTAGGCTGGTTCTAGCTTTTTATGGGTGGTACCCAAAAATCCTCATTTGGGATTGTACATCTGGGCCCTTTCAGCGTGCAAAATACGCCCCGGGCAACCAAATTTTACTTGGGGCAACCTAATTTTTGCCTGGGCAACCTGGTTCAAAAAAAGTATTTTGTACACTGCTGGCCTTCAGAGAATCCTAAATCCATTGTGAGCAACTGGTTTTGTCCTGCAGCACAAGTTATAATAGTTTGAAGGGTCACAGAATAATACCATTTCCCAGTCTCCCAGACCTGGCACAAAGCACATGGTTGTGTCGTGAATAATTCATGGTGTAATACTAGCTGGCCTGTTTGATGTCGTGTTTTGAGATCAGCCAATTCAAAACTCTCCCACTTTAATAAAAACCCCTAAGGGAATTAGATGGCTATGTATTGTTATACTGTTACATAGATTACGATATATGAATAGTGCTGTGAAGTCGTTAAGTGATCAGTAATGAGCCAGGAAAAACTGAAAGCCTCGGCGCACTACAACAGTCTTGAGTTCTTCGATGCAATAGGAAGAAATGGAGGCTCATTCAGGGGTTTTCACAATACCCATGTCTTTTTTTTGAAAAGCCTGGTTTTAGGTAACAAAAAAGGCCTCGGGGGTTTGTTGTATCATTTGGCCCTGGAGCCAAGAAATTGGCCTGTGTGAGCCCTGGAAACAGTCTGGAACCCAGGCTAGGGGGTTTAGTGAACAGACTTGGCCAGCCCATGTACATGTAGCTTGTGACAAATTGCAAGCTACAGGTACAGAGTTTTGTGGCCCAGCATGCACCCATAAATTTTATACTACACTCAGTTCCTGCTGTATTAAACCTTGTAGAACAGCTTAGTACTTGTAGAGTATATGGAAAAACCTAAGCTATATCATCTTGGTTGGAGATTGTTTTTGTTGGCCACAGTTGGCCACATGAACTTTCAGTTGTGAGTCATACATTAATTTTCTTGGCATATTTTTCTGCACATATTTTGTGTTTTCAACTTAAAGTTGAAGTTCAAAGCTGTCTGTTACTGGTTACAAATTTGGCACGGAAAGGATCTTAAAATTTTGGCTTGCGTGACTGAGAAATCAAAAAGGCCTGCTGTTTACTTTCATACACCGGATACTGCACTGAATCACATCCTCTGAAAATTATTGTTTTTGCTGTATGTTTAGGATTTAAAAGTCTATGAGGTGGTTGCTTTTCATGTGATCCGTTTGTGTAGAATTTTTGGCACCTGATTCAGAGGACTAAGTAGTTACATGTGCCAGAGGTAGACTGTCGGGTGTAAGCAGCAAGAAGGTGCCGCAAGGAATGCATGAGGTTTGCACGCAACTCTTTAACAAGTAGTCCTCGTGCCGATTCAGTGTCAGCGGTGTGTTAGCAAGGACAGACCCCTCAACCTTAGGGTCTAGAGGGTCTGTCAAAAGGCTACCATAGTAGGGAAAGGGTTAATTTAATCCACTGCCTTCAAAGAACAAGTCAAACAATATAATAGCTAGTGTAGTAGTAAAAATACAAGTTTTTTTCATACAGTACATACATATGTAGTTGTCTGTCTCCTATTATTGTATGGTATCTTTGACTGTGAAAGCAATTAGCCTTTGGGCATGATTTTGCAAATAAAGATTATCAAAGGCATCCAGTGCAATTTTGATGCCATTTCTTAGCACATTTGTGCTATGTGAAGCATTTGATTTCAAGTAGCCCTGAAACAAGCTACATGAGGCATCTCTCTATTTTTGGGTGCCACCCATAAATACACTTGTAGCTAGAAGCAGCCTACCATATGAAACAAGCAACCATTCTCTGTCAGTGACATTGCATTTTTGCCAGACAGATATCAGTATACTATTACTATTGATTCAACATAAAACTGCTACATTGAAAGAATTACTGAAAAATTGACCTTGAAAATCCAGTTTTGCTGCCCTGAAATCGCACTGGATTCCTTTAGTTCGGAACTTCCTGAGACTGAGATAAAAGGACATGATAATGAAATCAGTGAGTCCACCAATTTTCCTATTTGGAGGCACTGAAGCTTTGATAATCCCCGGTAACTGAATTTTCTTACACTTCTGCAGTTTCTTTCAGAGGCAGTGACTGAGTGAGGCGTTGGTAACATTTTCACATGGCACTGATGAACCTTTTAACATATTTAGTTGTCTATTCAGTACAGTGCGATCATCATGGTCACAACACTTTGTACATTGTGTGGTATGCAAAATATAATTCCATATACATGTACATGTATATATATATATATGTGCAAGTGGCAAGGTGGTCTTCTATGTGGTTAAGGTTTCTGATCACTAATTAAATCTGAAGGCTCTGGTCTGTGTTTGGATTCCTTGCAGACTCCAATGTTGTGCTCTGAGAAAATGCAATGTACACTGATTTTCTTCACTCAACTCAGGTGAAAATGAGTACCGACATTGCGACGTCCTCTTCGATGAGACCTTAAGTTAACTATACCTGGAATTCCAAGCAGAAAATACATTGTACCACTCTTATATTATGATAAGTTATAAAAAGAGCAGGGATCCTTCCTGGTCTGAGTGGTTCAAACCTTACAGTCTGGCCTCATGGTTGACATCTTGAAAAGGTGATAGTTACCTTCTAAAAATGTGGTAAATTTGAAAAAAATTACAAGGTTACATTGCTCAAGACATTGTTCTTTTTCCAGCACCATGAAGACTGTATTGCTGGTTACTGTCCTGTGTGTGCTGGTGAGCTGTCTTCAGGCAGAGGAAGACACAGCAGCCAGACGGCGCAGAGGTAAACATTTCTTTCAATTTTTATTTGACGAGTGTAATTAGTTCTAATGTCTATCGTGCAGTGATTTCAGACTTCATTTTGTGAACATGTAAAATATTTGATCCAGGTTAACAGTGCAAGGCTGGTTTGTTAATACTGCCACCTTACAGTTTTGGCCTGAACTACAAGATCTCATCTTGGGTATTAGTAGTCTAGTCTCAACCAGGCTTTGGGTGTGGCAAACTGTACTCTCTAGTGGACCAACTACCCTGGCATGTTATCTCTCTATTGGGCCGATTTCTGCTCTTTCCAGCTACCTCCTGAAGCCTGATAGATGCTAGGAGTAGTCACTTGTATGTTAGACTGTAGAAGTGGTCACTTGTACATCTTAACTGCAGAAGTACAGTGGTTACTTGTACATGTTTGAGTTTGACAGTAGTTTTTGTATCTTTTATCCTGAGAAATTTATTTTTCTCCCTCCAGGCAAGAAGGAGCCTAAGGAAGGCTGCAGTGGCTGGACCTGGCAGTCGTGTGTGCCGGCTAACGGTGACTGTGGGTGGGGACAGAGACAGGGAACTCAGGAGGGACCCAACTGTAAAATACTCAGTAAGACTATCAAGTGCCGCATCCCGTGTGGTAGACGCAAGGAATATGGAGGTAAGTTCCAAGTCAATCACTTATCTTATCAATCAATAAATCAGTCAATCGATCAGTCAATCAATCAATCAATCGACCAATCAACCAACCAACCAATCAATCAATCAATCAATAAATGGCCAACCAGTTGCCAGTCACTCTATCAATCAATAGCCAATAGCCAATCACTCAATGGATACATGAATGAATGATTGAATGGCTGTATTTTCATTACATTGTCATACATGTTAGAATGTAGAAAAAAATGTCAAAAAGAATACTTTACTACACAAGGTCAAGAAGGAAAGAGGCAAGAAACGTTTGTACTTAAACAAAATAATATGTCAATGTTAATTTGATATTAAATTGTTTTGAGACAGAAAAATTGTACATTTTTGTACCTCAGACTGCCGTTACCAAAAAGAATCATGGGAGTGTGACGCTGACACCAACATGGAGACCCGAACACTGCAGCTGAAGCGGGCGGTGAAGGGCGCAACCTGCGACCCCGAGGTCACGGAGACAAGGCCGTGCAAGGGAGGTGGGTGGATGTATCTCTAAGCAGATCATACGGTGGCAAGGCAGTTGGCTAGAGTGTCCATTAGCCCATGCACATTCCTCTGGCCAACTGCCTTTAATTTTTCCATATGTTAGCCTTTTTATTGCATTGCTATCATGACCATTTGTCCATAGTATAAACTTTCAACAAGACAATCTAAGCTCTACTGAAGGGAATATTTTTCCCATTGAAACAGCCTGTAATTCTTTTCTGGAACCAAAAGCCGGGACGTGTGCCTGATAAACAAAAGAAAGGCTGACAATGACATTCTGATGTTCTTGATAAGTTGGTTATTTTATTTTGTCCCAAAATGTCCCAAAGTGTCTTTTTAGTTGTCCCAGCCTAAATTTTAGCGGTCAGCGCCCATTGGACCACCTTTAATTTCGAGCCCTGGAGACAATCTACATGTATCTGTACTGAATGTTTAACCCCTTCTAAACAGCCTGCAAGTACAGCAAGAAGGAAGTTACTGACTGTGACGAGGAAAGCAACACCTTCACCATCACCAAACAGCTGAGGGTGGGAGACCCCGCCATCTGTAAGGAGCAGATCGTGAAGACCAAGAGATGCAAGAATGGAGATGAGGAGGGGAAGGGGGCACGCAAGGCAGAGAAAAAGGCAGCCCGCAAGGCAGCTAGAAAGGAGAAAAAGGCCAGGAAGCAGGCTGAAAACGGAGAAGCAGCAACTCCTAAAGGTAGGTTTGTGATGATATATACATATAGAATACAACACGGGGTATTCCCATTGCCCGAGGTACCAGCCCGACCGCGTCGAAGGCCGGAGGGAGATCCGATCCGCGGGAGGGCTGGGACCGAGGGTGATGCGGAATACACCGTGTTGTATTTTATTTATGTCATACCCACCCACAAAACACGCCTTTCAATGCGAAATGAGCAAAAATTTGGTGTCCCTAATCCCAAAAAATGCAACAACATCAATTCCAACGTCCGAATTTTGCATTCGAAGTTTCGAAAGCATTGCACGCGGTTAGGGCGAAACGCGTTCGAATCGTTCTATGGAACATTTGGAAGCCCCGGGCCATACGCATAAAGAACCCCCGGGCCGTACGGCTAGTTATCACACGGGCCGGAACACCCGTATCGAACGTAATCACGGCCCAGGTAGGACATCACTCAGGTGTCAGATCATGGAGCTAGAAAAGGTTGATAAGCTCGAAAAATTGTTCATGTCCCTTGCAGGGGTCCACCCCCCAAAAAAAGTCTAGGGTTGGCAGGTTTTTCTAGGATCGGTCAGGAAACAACAGTTTTTTTTCCAAGGCCCAATGACTGGTTCAGATATGTGCTGATTGTTGAATAAAGAACCTTCTTATACTCTACAGTCTCTTACTAACCTCAAGAAGTTATTCAAGGCTATGATATTGTTTGTTTTCCCCAGGACCATGCCAGTACGGATCCTGGAGTGAGTTCGGGGAGTGCGTGGACAACAAGCAGACCAGGACCCGTCCTATCATGTCTGGTGCCGAGAAACGCAAATGCCAACAGAGGGCTACTCAAGTCCGCAACTGTTAGTCTACAACAGTTTAGCATGTCGGCAGAACGTACTGCACCTGTGTGAAATCCATAAATGTGCATAGCACTTTGGCAGAACATCACATATAAGGTCGTATTCGCGCATATATTTCCGCCTGTAGTTTTCAAATGTTACGTCGGAAAAATATCCTCTGCAACAGGCAAAATTCTAATGCAACGTTGACTAAACATCCAATGAAAATTGTGAAAAATCAGTATTTCGCGCAGGCGCAGTACGTTCTGCTGACGTGCTCAACAGTCTGCTCTGTAGAGAGTTGCAGAAGTTGTCATCTAGACTGGTGTTTGACATCGGTAAAACAGGGGATCAACATCTAGAGGATTTTGTGTTATACAAATATATACCAAGTGTTTCTAAAAAGCTTTGTGCACAAGATATTTGTTGGCACAGTTGTTTGTGTAAAGAATTCTGTCACAGTTTAGTTGTAGTGGAGTTTGACTTTTAAAGAAGTTGTTTGTCAGCCAACCGTATGCAGTACTACAATGTATCTGATCAAGAAGGTTTTATGTCGTCATTTCTCCTGAAGTAAAATAAAGCATCAGTTGTTTGTTTGTTCCAAGTCAATGTTTTATTCACTACTAGATATTGTATATGTAAGTTTTTGAGATTACATGTACTTTGTATTGTAACCAGGATTATAGCCAGAAAGAGAGGTAGTTGGAGATGTTGTGTCAGAGTTTTAGAACTGAGTTGTTGTTTTAAGTCGGACATAAAAATGTTCATCTTTACCAGGACAATAGCCAGAAGGATGGTAGTTTAGAGATATTATGTTGTGATAAGAAAATGGTCATTAGGCCATGTTGATTTGATTATATGGATGACATCCTCTGGGAACCCCAAAACTGATGCGCGCGTGCGAATAAAAAAAAAGTTTTGCAAAAAAAAAGTTGCTTTCATTATGAAATCTGCGTGGTCATGAAGGTTGAAAAAATGACACAGAGTATGGTTTGGTGAATAATCTACTCTTTAAAATAATTTCTCTTTACATTTTCGTCTTTTTTGTTTGATTTTGGCATTCTGTGACATTGGTATCATTTTTTAATATTCTTTTTGCAACTTACGGTATATATTTGCTCATTTTGCAACTGTTTTGTACGATTTACAATATGGTTGAAAACTTTTTTTTTTTTGGAAACGGCCGAAAATTCATGCGCGCGCGGATGTCATCCATATAATCAAATCAACATAGCCTTAGTTGAAAGGAATAGTAAATGTTAGTTGTAGTCTTTTAGTAACACTAAAAGGTTCTTGTTGCGACAATTTCTACCAGTATTATTTTTTTTCTTTGCCAACTCTTACATTTTTGATACATGTACCTTCATACCATTGGTACTTTTTAGTTTAAATACTGATTTTTTTAGCAGTTTGAACTGAATTCTGTAATATTTTACCCACAACAATATCAGCAAATGTAACACAAACTGCAGTCTGAATGAGTGACTGATGTCAAGTATGTAAGGCCACACCAATTTAATTTGTTGGTTCTCGGATTTTTTCAGAAAAAATATGAAGCGACAGGGCGAAAAAAAATAAAAATAAAAACCGGTCTAGGCATCCTATTATAGGCTTAAATGCTACAAAATGAGCCATGAAGTCAACACAAAAGGCTGGGTTGAAATTTAAACATTGGATTTTGAACTTTTAATCAAACCACTGCAATGATAGATGGGAAAACTGTAACAACTAGGAAGAAAAGGACTTTCCTCAACTGTTGGGGGGCAAAACATGAGCATTTTTCAGTTGATTCAGGACCAGAATCAAATTTTTTTTTTTTTCAAATCAGAAAAAAATGAAGAGGTGAATCCGAGAACCAACAAATTAAATTGGTGTGGCCTAAGCACTTTTATAACAGAAGGGAAGACAATATCTAACACAATGTTACTATTGTAGTAATTTGTACTCCACGTCATAATTTACCCACAAAATGAGATATATAAATTCAACATCTATAAAACATTACAACAATCAGAATATTACAGGTAAGCATGGAAAAATGTAACCATAAATGTACACTAAAAGACATTGAAAAAAGTAACAAGAAAAGTTTGGAAATGTTGGTCACAAATTATTATGTTTGCAGTTGGCTGAAGTGCACTATACAGCCAGAAGGCATATTATATTGTCTTGTTTGTAAACATTGTATACATGATGATACATTGTATTCTTTGATGTCAACCCTCTGAACTAGAATAAAATGTATCAGAATGGTAACTTTGTCTTGTCCTTTCCCCCATATTCTTTACAGTGATATTGCAACCAATGTCATGAAGCAGGTCTGGGGACAATAATTTGTAAGGAGCTTCTTATTGAATTTTCTTCCCAATTTAATATTTTTGTTTCATTATTTTTTCAATGTCTGCTGACATTTCTATTTACGGATCAGTCATTTTGTTCTGAAATTTTATGCTAAAAAAGCTACAGATTCGTTTTTACTAATGCCACAAATAGGCGACTACCTTTACGCTTCTGGGCTGATAAATGTTGGCAGCGTCACATCACCCCGGCAACGGGTGACGTCATTGACCTAATTAGGCAAGGAGGAAGGAGCGGCCATATTGATTTTGTGTGTACAGTCTTTGGCTAGAAAATCGTCTTGACAATATCAAAAACAACGCTGTGTTTTCAGCATGTAGGGCATGAAATACACCGGTTACAGCGTTTGAGAGCTAGAGAACATCTCAAGCGACATACACAGTAAGTTACATGGCATAATATTGATGCAAATTCGATGTTGTCATGATTTTTTGTAGGGGGGAGGGGGGCGGCTGTCATGTTTCAACAACGAAGAAATTGTATTATGGTATTATGATTAGTTTCTTGAAAAGAGCTGACTTTAGCATCGACATTTTGAAAATTGATAACCTTCCCTGAAACAATACTTAGGTCAACTTAGCCTTCATAGGGCAAGTCAGTCGTACTAGAATGATGTGCCATGTTTATATAATTATAGACAAATTATGATTTGCATGCAGGTAGCCTCTTTTAAAAACACTACAGATATTTTTTTGCCATATGCTTAATTTGCCTTGAAGGGGCCATTGCAAGGAAGAAGAATTATACTGTCTGGTATGTTCAGATATTGCAGGTACTGTATTATGTGAACCTTGTATGATTTAGATTCCATTTGTTGTTTGTTCCCCCCAGCCATGGGGAAGGAGCGGGAAGACGCAGCACTGCCTCTTCTCCCCATCTACCACCCTCCTGAGGAGGAGGAGGGGGGTGAGGACACTTCATGGAACGGCAACTTCCATTTTAATCATGATGGACAACAGGTGGGGCCGATATTATGAACTGACAGCCATATACAAAAACTGGAAATCGAACGAAATAAGATAAAGAAAATAACTTTGTCATAAACCTTTCCATTTTCATAATTTTCATCATTCATTGATTCAGAAGGTTGATAGTCAATATTCCAATGAAAATATCAATGAAATAATAACAATGAAAATAGAATGAAAGAAAATGACATGAATAATGGGCCCTCATCTTCCTTATTTCATATGTTGTTTGTTTGACTTTGAGCTTTCATGAAATACTCAAATTGCCTTTTCATAATGCCATAAAATACATCTTATAAGTGCACCACTAAATCTGTATCCGTATAGCTGGTATAATCGCCCTTCAGCGTAACACACCAGCTTCTGTATGTTTATTCTGTATAGCCAGTATAACTGCCCCTCAGCATAACAGTCACCAGCTAAATACCTCCACTTTCTCCATTTCAGATCCAGTTTGAGGAGACATCAGATGATGGCACCATCGTCAAGATGCCCAAGACAAAACGGCGGACATCCCTCCTTGTCTTCGACCTGATCCTCCTCCTTCTGGACTATCTCCAGTTCTTCGCCCTTCTCATGGCCATGTCTGAGCACTGGACCTGGCCTGAGACCTGGCTCCGCCATCTCAGCTTCGTTTTCCTCTTCAATCTTGACGTTTGGGAGTTTACCAAGTTCTCTACGGGCGTCTACGTCTCGGCTAAAAGCTATTTCTTGCCATCTGCTGTTGTTTTCGACGTGCACTTTCTTCTCCTAGCTTGGCTGATGTTGTGCACAGTACTTGTGGTTTCCTATACCATCTTTTACGCTGTCCTGTTGTACAAGCAGAATGCAAGCATGCTTCTACGCATCGCACAGCTACAACGGGTGTACCTGACCATAGCACAGGTCATCGCTCTGCCTTTGGGCACAACGTTGGCAAAGCTGTTCCATTGCACGTACCTAGATGCGGTGGATGTGTATAACGGTTACACGTGCTTCAGTGGCACCCACTGGGGTCTTGTAGCAGGTGCGGTTGCCATGTCTCTTCTGTTTTTTGTCGGCATTGCAGCTTGGATGATCATTAAGATACGACGTCAGATGTTCAGCTCCCACAGTGATCGCCATGAAGGCTACCTGCAGCTGAAGGAAGCTCAGTTCATCCGCAGTATCGATGTAGTGTGGGCGGTCGGGCATTTCCACCTCTTCTCCTCCTACAAGCGTTTCTGGGTGTACTACCGCCCAGTCCTTTTCCTCTTCAAGTTTGCCATAGTGTGTTTCTACGCCGGGTTGATACGCCACCCCCTGGCGCAAATCTGGTGCATTCTGGTGTGCTGGCTGGTCTTTCTTGTAGTCGGGTGCATCTGGCGCCCGTTCCGCGTCACCTCTTTCAACTTCATGTTCATCATGAACTTCGTTTGTCTTCTCGCCAACTCCTTTGTGGGCTGTGCCCTCAACATGCCCTCTCTAACCTCCGTATGGCTCACCCCCGACTACTTATTCTACGAGCTCCTTCTTATAAACGGCGTGTGGTGCCTTGCCGTTGTCCTCTGGCTGCTGTTCCTGTTAATGCGGCGATGTGGCTGTTTGTGGAAGGGGTACCCTCTGTGGCCGTCTATGACAGAACACGGCATGGACAAGCTCAGCACCACGACGCGACACTACATCAAGGCCATCCTGGACGGCCGGCAACTCTTGGAGCGATCTCTCTCCATGCCGGCGCTGTTCTCCCCCGCTCACGAGCTCTCACGACAGATCCAGATCATCAACGCGTACTGCAGAGAGGCGGAGTACCTGCGGGATCCCTTCCATGACACGCTGTGGGATCTTCTGGACGAGCTAATCGAAGCGCACACCCGGATCGCCCCAATATCGCTGTTTGCCGAATCGGTGAAGCCTTCGATTCAGCAGACAGCGCAGGAGCTGATGAAGGTTATGCCGCAGTTCACGAAGAGGATGGTGCAGCGGGACTACGACTTTATTCTCATGACGCCGCTCAAACGCCGCATGTTGCTGAAGATGTACTGCATCGGTGAGGATAGATTTTTACTAGTGAAAGATATAGACAGTTAATTATGGTTTCCAGATCAGCTTATGCTAAGGACTACCATTTGTAAGTTGTGAAAGTACTCTATCTTAGTACATCACACCAAGTTACAGATCTTGCAAAATGAGTTTTCATGCACACATGTGCTTTTGAAACAAAGATGGAGAGAGGAACATGTTAAACTGGTATTTGCTTGCAAATATTGTGATGCATTTTCCTCATCTTCTGTCAAAACTTAACAGTACTACAAAGTTGTTTCTTGACAACCTGAGTTAAAATTTGACACATAGGGTATCTGATTGGCAAATAACTCATTGCTCTTTATAATGACAAGTTGACAAGTCTCTTTCTCTCTCCCTTGTGCCACACACCCAGGTGTATTTGTGAATGGCCGTGCAGAGCGCGTGAACCAGGAGCGAGACGAGGCAGGGCTGTACAAGGTCTGGCACAGGTCACCGACCCCTGACCTTTCAGGGGATGATGGGTACTTTGAGGAGCCATCTGATGATCCAGACAACACACACAAACATGGTATGGGAATTAGGTTATCCTGACCTTTTTGATTTGATTTGATTTATTGAAATTGCAACAGTGCAATACACGTGGGACACAGGCAGTTGTTGCTGTGTCCCAAACATAGAGATTAGTTGCACAAAAAAAACTAATGGATATCCCAATAAAGTACATGTATCAAGTATCTGAAGTATAGAAATGAATACTGGTCAAACGATACTCATTTTCACTTGAGTTTAGTGGGGAAAGTCGTGTAAAGTGCCTTTCCCAAGGGCACAAGATCGGTGGCATGTCAGGACTCGAACCCTCTTGGTTCTGAATCGAGCACGACCCCCAAATGTACCATTCTTATGCAAGCATTTGATACAATATACAAGGCAGATCCTAAACAGCTTAATATGGTTTCCTATATTTCCCTCCAGTGATGTTCCGTGAGCCTCCCCCGACTGCCTCTGCTACGTGGAGTAACAGCAGTTCCCTGCTGCTGGAGCCTGACATGTTCCCCACGCCTGATGGGGAGGGAACCAGCCGTGCCAGCCGCCCCCCTCCCCGGGAGGACACCAACTCCCTGTCCTCCAGTACTCTCAACTCTGCAGCAGGCAGGGACAACGCTGCATTCATGCCAGAAAGGTCGGTGCTGTTGGTTTGCTTATTTAACTAGAAAGGTAACACTTGCAAAGAAAATGCATAATGTTTACCTTTTGCGTATGGTCTGCTATATATTCATATATATGGTCAGACAGGAGTATAAATCTCTTCTGCTATGAAATTACAACATGATGTAATCCAACACTAGTTACCATGGGGACAGCTGTCTGGTTCAGGTCGTTGACCTTATTTGTTTGGAGAAGAAGAGGAAACTGAGCAAAAACAATATGTTTTCCTTCAGTAAAAATAAATATCTTTAAGTTGTGATTCTGTGATTTTGAATTTAAACTTTGTTTAACTGGGATGACAGCATCTTTTTTCACATTACAGTGGCAGTCTCCCAAGTTTAGCAGATACAGAAGAGAAGCAAGAGACAGCAGGGCACAGCTCACCTGACCTGACAGCACCTGGGGAAGATGATCAAATTGGTGGAACAGCCAACAACCAAGCAGAGAAAGGGGGTGATGGAAAAAGTCCACAAATCACTCCCAAACCTGACCACTTGGAGACAATAGCAGAGGATGAAGAAACTCAATGAGAAAGAAGAAAATGAGTTACTAGTACATTTTTCTCACCTCAAGAAGAAAGGACAGAAAATAATCATTTTACTGTTTTTTTTGTCCTTCTATAAGTTCTAATTTCTTCTCACTTTTGGAAGCAGCCACCTGACCAAAGGGCTACTTGCCTTTATTTCAGTCAAGACTGAAGTATGTGATATCTCTGGAGAACCAGAACTGAGATGACAATATATGTAATGCAGTAAGGCAGTACAGTGCCAATGTTGAAATTTTTTTATGATCAAGATTTGTGCAAGAAAATGGCTACTTGTATTTGGAACAATTCTGTTTAGAGGAGGTAAAAAGATGCCATGAAATACTTCAGAATTGTGAGAAAGTGATGTTGAAAAAGCAAGGACTGGAATCACTTTATATTGCAATTCTAAAAAAAGCAATGTTTTATCTGTTGAAGGGTATAAAGGATGAAGCAATACCCAGATGTGCTAATAATTAGGTATTTCTGAAGAAATCTGAGATGCTAAAGGGGAGCTTGCACCTAGCAAGGTGTGTTTTCATGAACTACTGTATTAATATTGAACATAATGCACAAGGATTTTAGGGTTATCACAGTATCCTGTTTTCTGAACAAGCTATGTTGTTCTGAGGAAAGACATTTACATGTAAAACTATAGCATATGTACCCAAGAAAATGTAGCTTCTTTCTGTGTTTTTTGTTGCACTTTTGTATCTACTTTTTTACTATGCACATTATAGTTATGTATATATTCATCTTAATTTTCTTATGAAATACATTGTACATGGTTGAAATGTCCAGAGGGTTTTCTACTGATTTAAAAGTATTTTGTGCAGTCTGCTCTATTTGTATATATTTTTGAACAGATGAATTTGCTGGAAAGAGGAATGATATTTGTGATTTTCTCATATCACAGAGTGCAGGGCACTGAAATCCGAATATATTAAAATCCATAATAGATTGTACATTTCTATCAGTGGCTACAATATGATTATCATGCATCATTAATAAATGCAACCTTGTGTATAATGGATGTAGCTCAAAATTGTAAGAGGCCAAATTTTTCCTTCATGGCAATATTATTGGGAACAATCAAAATAAATGTGCAAGATCAAGATTGTTACATGTGCAAATGTTCATGTACTTTGTACATTGGAGCAAATATTACTCTAGCATGCAATGCAGTTACAGTAACAGTTGTAATGTAATGCTATGTGTAAAATGTACAACCATAGTTACCATGATACCAAACAGTACCTACCAATGTAAGTGCTTCATGTTTTGGTGATTATGAAATGCTGAGACTCCGTTTAGACCCAAGTGTCTCGCCGTTTTATTATTGAAGTACATTGTAGATAGACTGAAACTGAAGTTTATGAAGAATCCAACTTGCAATTTGCAGCTTGCACCATGAAGGCTATGTTTGAAATAAACAGTCATTGTATCTAATCTTCACTGTCTTTGCTTCTTTTTGACTTTGAGCTTTTGTTTATTCATGAAAAAGTGAATCAGTCTGTTCAATGCATTGGGTTGGCCTTAAAAAAAGATTCCAGTGCAAGAAAGAAACGATAAAAAAAAGCCTAAAAACACAAAAAGTAAGCAAAAACCCAAACCTTTGCTTGGAGAGTAATGTATGCATTAGATAGTGCTATAATTTTATGTGTACTTTTTAGAAAAAAAGATGCACTCCAAGACCATATTCTTACGTTTTAGGACATCAAAACAGGTTGAAACGTGACATTAAAAGTAAAACTCCTAATATATGTAAGGAGAGGGATAGATATGCTCAATTTTTTAAAATTCTGTAAAATCATTTTCTTAAAATATATGGATTCAGTAAAAAGTCAGTAAAAATGCTCCAAAGCTCATCTAAGGTCTTACAAGCTCTCACATTTTATCAAATATGCCTTTAGAATCAAAGATGGTAAGTTATAAGACACGCGTCAATCAGCGATATTATTTGGGACATCCGGATAGAAAAGCTACCTTTTAACCCTGACCTTTCACCCCTCCGCGTTGGTCCAAATTTCTGTCCGCCATGTTGGATTTGTAGGTGGGAGTTTCGTTTCGTATTTTGACTTCCCGAAACTGAGAAAGACCACTCTTGTCCAGCAGAAAAGAACGTATTCCTTCCACCTAGACCACCTTGGGGTGAAAAAGGTAGGTTTGAAGTCTTGGTTTGGGGGAAGATGTGGCGTTTTGACGAAGATTTTTTAAACAAGCGAAAGCTTGTGACGTAAAACTTGTTTGCGGGTGGGTGGGGGAGGGGGGCAACGGTCTTGAATTTCCCGTTTCTTAGAAGTTCAACTGCTTCTTCCGTGCACGTATTCTTGAGTCTACATGTGAAAAATTTAGATAGATTTTTTAATCGGAGAATTTTGTTTCAGTAAGGACAGAGAGATGTTTTAGGAAATTATGGATGGTTGTGAGAAAAGTGCCCGTACGTACAGTAGTCTAAAAAATTATTAACGATCAAGTGAGTTCAGTAAGCACGAACAGAAACGAAAGTATGCATGAGTGTATTAATGATTATTAATTTTATAGGATACATCATATTATCTTAAGAGAAAAAGTCAAAAACTATGATTATGATCGACAAGAAAAAAGTATAAAATTTACGTTGATTTACACCTTACACGTAAACCTAACATTTCATTAGTAACAATTCTTTTTTTTTTTGGTTTTCTTGGATCCCAGTTCAGTGTGTTAAGAGATAGGTTAACATATGAAACAGTTATAATGGATACAATCTTAATCGTAACTCGTCAGAAATCTCAAATTTGGCAGAAGAATTCTGGCAGTGCACCTGTAATCATGCGTAAAATTTGTGTTTGTTCAAGCCAGTCACACAGGTCTTTCCAAGAACCCCTGGTAAGCTCAGAGATAATTTTGTTCTTGATATTGTGGTATAAAAGAACTCTAAATCACCCAAAAAATTTCAAATTCTTTAAAATAGAAACCTTCCGTTAGGCTCCAAACTGGATCCTCAACATTTTATCAAATCGAAGGATTACTAACCAAGGAGCTTACAACAGAAAGCTCCTTGGACTAACAAAACTTTTTAGGACCCATACGCATGCCTATAGAGCTTTTGAGCCCTAAGTCTAGAGTACATTATCAGGCCACTGCAATAAGAAGTGGCTATAGTTTTAGATCATACATGTTCATTTGTATATTAAAACTGCCCTCCCATACTTTAAGTGTGCAAACTATTTTCTTACCTATTCAGGTACATGTACATGTGTAGGCAATGCCCGTTGCCACCAGGTGTTTTTGGACATGTGTTATCCTGAACAGAGACAAGAAGACAACACACTGCCATCAACTACGTATACACCATAGACAAGCATGGAGAGGCCTGAACATGAACAGGTGGGGACACTTAAACGTTACAGTTAAACATATTCATGTAGTACAGTAGGAAAAGTCATCAAAAGAACTCATTAGGTTTGGTTTTCCTTTAGTGCCCACGATCTGTATCTGTATCTATATTGATCATTCTGGGATACTTATTTTCACCTGAGCAAAGTGAAGAAAGTTGTGTAAAGTGCCTTTCCGAAAGGCACAAGGTTGGTGACTTGGCAGGATTCGAACCCGGGACCTCTTGGTTCTGTCTTCAGCTGAATGCTCTACCGTTTTACCACACAACTCCACATTTGTAGAACCATGTATGTGTAATGATGTCTGTCAATTGGATTTATGGTGACTATAGATTTATTGTAAGACCACTACTAGAGTACGCCTGCCCCGTGTGGCACCCAGGCATCACCTCTGTTCAGTCTAGACACATAGAGTCTGTGCAAAGGCGAGCATGTAGAATTGTATTGGGTAAGAACTACGTCAACTATGATGCTGCCCTAGGCCAGCTGTCCCTTACCTCTCTGTACCAGAGACGAGTCCTACTCTGTAAGAAGTTTGCAGTGTCTTTATCAAGATCCCCTACTTTCTTCAGTTGGTTACCGCCTACACGTGCAATTGTACATGGCAGAGAACTCAGGTCCAAAAATCAAATCAGTCAATTTAGCTGCAGAACATCGAGATTTAAGAACAGTACTTTACCTTTCATTGTAAAGTTACTAAATGATAGTTGACATGTTCATTGTGTAAGTCATGGTTGTATTGAATCGTTATAGCTGATTTTATATTGTTTAACATTGTTGTATTGAATCGTTATACATTGTAGCTGATTTTATATTGTTTAAATGTAAACAATAACCACAATTCAGCCGAAGGGCTGCTATGGTATTGTATTTGTATTTGTATTTGTGTGAAATAAACCAGTCATATAGATTTAGGACAATAATGTAACCTGTATTTTGTTACTTTTTCTGACCCAGACTGATTTGAGTAGTTCATGAATAAACAAAGACTGAAATAAACAAACATTTTTTTTATTAAAAGTCAGAACAAATTTGATGGAACAAAAAGTTCTACTCAAGGGCTAAGCCAACTATTCCTTTGGACTAAAATTTGTTGATTAATTGTGCCATTTTGTCGTTTACTTGTAGTATCTAGGTTACTATTGATGGAGATTTAGTTCATGTAAAGTCATGTTCGAATTTTTTCACATTTTCAGAGATCCACAGCAGCAGAGGCACTGTTAGACTTGTCCACATCCTGCAGGGCCCAGGACACCAAGGACAATGGACAGGTAAGAACATGAAGGAAAAAAAAAAGTGCAGCAACTTTCGTAAGGCCTTCTTCAGGCTGTCTACTAACAAAACAAGATTAGTGAAAACAAATGAACTTACATACTACTAAACAAGTGGATATACAAATGATAGTCAGCAGAAAGATATTTTCATAAACATTTTCTCAAATAATTTCATTTGATTGATTGACAAGGTCATGACCTTGTACACTTGACCTTCATGTGACCTTCATGTCCACAGAACAAGCACACCCAGGCAGCACTGCCTATGGTGGAGAACTCGCGTGAGCGGCTCCGCCCCTGGCTCATTACCATGATAGACAGCGGCGCGGTCCCCGGCCTGGACTGGCTCAACCAGGAGAAAACCAAGTTCAAGATTCCATGGAAGCATGCTGGGAAACATGAGTACAACCAGGACAGGGATTCTCTCCTGTTCAAGGTCAGGGAACAACCGTTTTAAAATTTTATACACCTTTGATTCCATAACTTGAAGGCTATGAGTGTGAATCACAAGTTATTGAATCAGATGTACAAATGTGCTTTGTCTTATTTGGTAAACATATTGTTTTTGCTCAGTTTCTTCTTCCTCTTCTTCTTCTCCAAACTGTGACATCAATGACCTGAACCTGATCCTGAATGTTGTGTCTGTTACCATGGTAACTAGTGTTGGGTTCCATCATTTTGCGATTTTATAGCAGGAGGGATTTAGACTCCTGTCTGACCATATATATGAATGTGTTTAAGAATTAACAGAGTAGACCATATGCGAAGGTAAACATTATGTAAGAAGTCTTAAATGCTGAAAAATTCTTTTTTTTTTTATTGCCCTCAAACCTCGTTAACAGGAATGGGCCAAGTACACGGGGAAGTACCGTGAAGACGTTGACAAACCTGAGCCGGCTGTCTGGAAGACGCGGCTAAGATGTGCTCTTAACAAACACCCCAAGATCCACGAGGTTAAGAACGAGAGTCAACCAGAAGACTTCCACAACCCGTATAAAGTCTACGTGTTTCAGGACAAGACAGGTTGGTGTTGGACTAGCATAGTGACTAAGCTTTATGTTTGTGAAAATATTATGACTCTAGTGGATTTCTGATACTCTTTACAATTAGCTGTACAAACTTTCTTGATGTACATGTACATGTATGATGATCTTTGGAAATTGCCATCTTACTTCTAAGACAGTGGAAAAATTTAGATTTTATTCATTTTGCAATGAAACATTTCACAATATTTTTCAGTTTAAGTTGCAATTATGACATAAGGTCTAACTCTAAGTAAGGTGCAATTATGACATATTCATGACATAGTTTAATTTAGTATACATATAATTTATGAAGGACTTTCATTGTTTTTTTTTCATCATCATTCAAGTCTTTTAGATCTCCAGAACTGTATCACTGGATGTTTTTTTTTTCATGCTGTTCTCCAGATGAGAAGCTGCCAGTGAAGAAACCGCTTACATCAGGCCGACTGTTAGGCACCAGTCTGGAGGGCTTCGACACAACAGAGAGTCCTGTCATCTCTTACAACACAAACCCTACAAGTATGTGCTTATTAATATTATACATACTCCCTATTTTGCAATTACCTTTCAGGCATGAGTTGCCTTAAAATGAATCTTAGTACTACAGTAGGAAAGGCAGTATGTACATGTGTACTAAAGCAGGATGTACCTTGGAATTGTTCCAGTCGACTGAAGTAAAGAAGAAGTATAGAGGATGCACCCAAAGATGAAGGAGGTGTATTTGAATACATGAAACAGTTTCCAAGAACAAGAACAAAGAGCCAAAAAAGCCTACTCCTTAGTTCTTGACTGGTTTACCAATTAATGTCTGTTTATAGTATACAAAATTAATGTATGTCTTTATTAGATGAGAGAGTTGGCAGTAAGAGACCATTGGTCACTGCTGGTCACCTGATCCTGACCAGTCCAGACTCCACTAGTACCTCCGCTCCAGAGCCCATCACACAGCGCGCTGTCGCTATAGGTATGGCAGATGTCCTTTCTTACTTTCACACAGCTCCTGCTCATACTGTTCTCCCTCAGATACATATGTTTACTGAAGGAAAACATATTGTTTTTGCTCAGTTTCTCCTTCTTCTCCTTCTTCTCCAAACACTAACCTCTGACCTGGTCAATGAACTGATTTGTTGACGTCTGTCACCATGATAACTGGTGTTTGGTTACATAATGTTGCAATTTTGTAGTAGGAGGGATTTAGACTCCTGTCACAATATATGTGAATGTGTTTGCTTGACAAATGTTACTTTTCTTCTTATCATTCATATTGCAAATATATCAGGGATTTGAATAGTATGGTCTGTAAATTTTCATCGCTATAGTGACCAGGTGGAGAGGCACTCCGGAACCCGAGGACAACGTCAGCGTTGTAAACAAAACAATCAGGATTGAGGGACAACAGGAGGCGTCAACAAACACAGCGGGCTTCATGTGTAGAACAACACAACCGGAGCAAACCTTCATCAAAAACAACAGTCAACCGACGGGCAACGTCACGTTTGTTACAACAGCACCACAACCCATGGCTAGCCAGACTTTTGTGAAAAGTAACAGCCAACCAGACTTGTCAGCAGCCACTACTCCTCCCATCATGGGGAGAATGTTCTTTAAAATCAGACCACCAAACCCCCCTGTACAGCCTCATATGATTGTGGACGTGTCCCCCAACAAGTGTAAGAAATCAGAAAACGTTTCTCCGAATCCACCAGTCCCAATGGACACCAGGCCGATCAGCATTGAAATGCCAGAAGACTTGACTCCTAAGCCTGTTCCTGTCACAGACGAAAGGTTTGTCAAAAGCGAAAATGTCGAAGACATGCCCACTGACTTATCTATAACCAAGGAACCGATCCAAGTAAAAACAAAGAGTCTAGAAGATCTCTTGGCAAGGAGGTCTCCGAAAGTAGAAGAAAAGGAAGAAGTGAAGGTTGAAAAACCGAACATTGTTCCTGTGTGTGCAACCACACCAATGGAAATAGCAGACGTAAAGACAGAAACGCCGCAGAATACATCAGAACACAAGGCTAGGTTCACGATAGGGCGGTGCATCAAACTGGAGAAACAGGACGTCGGTTCCTCCAACAACTGTGTCCTCACCGACCAGAAGCAGCTAAGTCACGTTACACAGGAGAGACGCGAACTCATCACCTTTCACGAGGAGCCGTTGGTTCGACAAGAACCGTCGCCGGTAAACGGACAGAAGATCAACGTGTGCCCGCTTTGCGGCGATAGGACGGCGAGTGTTCCTGAGTTCGATGCCCACATGCGGGCGCATCAATGGGAGAAACCATACATGTGCGGGGAGTGTGGGTACAGGACAGGCACCAAAACGGCTCTCTCTAAACACATGAAGGCTCACTTCCCCTCACAAGAAACGTAGCACTGCTGTTTCTACTCATGTGTATGTGGAGGTATGGTGTCATAGGATAGCCTTAGTATCAGCTGTGTGTGTCATACTATCCTTTAATTTGTACTTTCTTCTGAATTCATTGTATTTTGCTTTGTGGGTTATATAATATGGTAAGTACAAGGCAAGTTTTCAGTTTCAGCCAATGGTCTTATGTATGTACATGTATCATTTACATTGTAGAAAAAACCCCCACTAAACTGCAGTTATTGTTACAGTAACTATAAATATCACAAATTTAATCCAAACCATATCAATAAAACATCATCTCCCTAGTCTATACTATAAAACAGCCATTTAAAAAAAACAGCTCTGAGCACCTTAAAACTTCAAGAAGGATAAGAACAAAATTTCATGCCAAAACCTCAGTGTAAAGCCATGGAGAGATAAATGACAGGATTTTGCAAGTCCATGAACACATTTTGGACAAGATGTGCTTGAATGTCAGTTGTCAGATTTCTAAAACACTATGGCGTAAGGCATTAACTGTTACATATTCAAGACAGACAAAAAATTTCCGTTCGAAAATGGGTATACTGGTCTTGGTGGTGTCAAAGAGCAAGGCGTGAAAGCCTTTAAGTTAATGACTTGGTGTTTAGCAAAAGAATTAACTTAAAATGTGGTAAAATAGGGCAGGTAGGAAGAAGGTGGTGTCACTAGCCAAGGTTGAAGATGTTAGACAGCAAAGAACAGAAATAAGTAATAACTCTCATAGAAACTGCAAAATGAACCCAGTTTATGGTTGAAAAGTAGTGTATTCTATTTATAGCTGAAACTGAAAAATGGCTCAAGAACAATTAAGAGACAACAGACATGACAATTTTGGCTTCTTTACCTCATGCTACATGCAAGCCAAATATGCAGACCATCAAATTACCTCAAAGTATAGTACCTGATAAATACATACGTTTTACAACCTTACAGATATGTGTAGTGTTAGGACATCTCTGCCGGCAAATCGCATGGTTTGAAGATGGCTATTGACTGTGTTACAGTTACTTACACACCCTTGTACATTCTGGATACTGTAATACCCCATATACAGCCTTGTACAATCTGGATACTGTAATACCCCATCCATAGCCTCTGCTGCAGGTTTTGTCACAGTATGAACCAGTGTGATATGTAAGGCCTTATATTTTCTTTTTACTGTAAGGTTTCTTGTCTTCCATTTAGAATGTATGTTAGAACATTACACAGAATGTTTGAAAAGGCAGATATGTAGCTATGTGTATTCTGCAAAGAAAGGGTGTTTTTCTAAACTGATTGGCAGATGTTGTAAAATTTACTGTTCAAAAGGAATTTTGAGAATCACAACTTCTATTATGTGACACATATTATTATGCTGACATCAGATTATTTTCAGAGTACAGAAGCCCCCTGATAAAATACACTCTTTACAAATACAGTATATCAAAGTTTAAGGCTATACAATATACAAATGATAGTTTTAAAACCGCAATTTCAAAAACTACTGTTTTAAAGCTACAATCAAAATTGCAGAATGAATTTTTTCATTTAGAATTCTTGAAACTTGAAAGCTTTATCCTGACAAATTTGTACAAAGCCAGATTCAAAATACCGGAAAAAATGACAGATATTTAGCCAATCAGAGAAGAGTTTGGTGTTGTAATAGGGTGTATACATGTTTGTATGAGACGAATGCATTGATTGGCCATATCACAAAGTGCACACATTTTGCTGTGACTCCTATTAAATGCCGAAGAGAGAAGGTTTAGACCTTTTGCACATGAATATGGATAAAATGCCAACTGGTACATGAAATACATATGGGGAGGGTGCACATATATGACAATATGAGGACTGAATACCCAGCACACTATTGCAAGTCACAAATATCTACAAAAAAGTACATATTTTTGTGAGAGTGTTTAGGTAGGAATGACAATTGTTTGGTTGTTTTGGGTTAATTCATTTGAAATTATTCATTACAGATGGAAATGTAAGGTATAGGGCAGTGTGATACAGAAAATGCCCTCTTTACATTACACAAGACAGCAAAATAGTTTGAACCATGACTAGTGCCAGAATGTACTACTTGTGTTTAGTTTAAGTTTAGTTTTATTTACTTTATTGTGTGGTTTGTGAATGTAAAACATGTATAGGTAATAAATCAATTGTGGGTGAGGATATAGATATTTAGAAAGGCTTATACTAAATCTCACAATGATATCTTTGTTGTGCAACTGCAAAGAAGAAAGATTTTATGTATAATTTACTGGAATTGAATGCATTCAATATTTTCGTCTAACTTTTCCATGCCCTAGCTTGACTTGTGCCACTAGAATTATTGTAAAATTTAATCAAAGAAATTTAGCAATTAATATTAGTATAAAGATTTCCTTATACAGTATATAGAAATGGTGTTTTATGCTTATTACACTAAATGGTATATAATTATATGTGTGCAACTTTAGAAACAATGTAAAGGGTGTGTGTTTTACACTATGGATTGTTTCGTGTATGTTATCATCATCATTATCATAACACTATGATTTCTCGCTTTTGTGTATAGCTAGCATTCCAATGGCACCAAATAATAATTTGTACAGGCATACTATTTTAAATAGAATTTGAAAATTAGGGCAAGAATAAATAATAATTGCATTTACTTTGGTTTTGTGATGGCATCACTTTTTTTTTATTTATGTGTCATAGCAGGGTGTCATAGTAACAAGAAACAATTGAATTTAATTTTGTTCTACGGAATAGAATATTGAGGTACTATCATATAGCCAGTAGCCGTCGACCAATCAGAAGGTTCCATTTCCCATGGGTTATTAGGCCATAACCTAAAAAGTGGGCTGATATTCAGATAATCGCCCACTTTTTGGACCGTACCATTATACGGGGCACAGGACACTAATTGTAGTATTTATCTATTACCTCATAAGTATCTATCTATTACCTCATAAACTACCTCTTTTCACTCAGTGGTTATCACACCCGACCAGGGATTATCTCACCATATACACCTTGGGTCGGGGAATTAACCCTTTATTGACACCTTTCCATAGTTCCTATTGAATGCTGGGAAATGTAGGTAGCATATATTCACTCATGAGTTAATAATTACGTTGAAACATTCGTCAAGCTTTCGGTTACCCGCAAACTAGAAATATTTGTAACTCAGAGAGTTGGTGCTTTAGTAACAAGAACAAATGTTTGTGGCTAACAATATGTCTCAAACACACTACCATGTAGACGAAAAAAGGACAAATTTGCCAAATAGGGAGTTTGCTAAGCTTAAGCGAGTTGAGCAACTATATAAAATGTCCTAAGGGCGTGTGGTGGAACCTATTATGTGATCTCCAAGCAGATCTTTCGGTGGCTGCAAAGTATCAAAATGGCCAGCATCTAAATGTATTTGACAGGCAGGTATTGACTATTTTTCACCCGAAGGGCTGACGTAAAAAAAAAAAAACAGTAGAACAAAAAAAAAACTGGATAAAAATGCTTAATACACGCCAAAAATAAGCCGCAGCACTATCGTAGCAGGCTTACAGAACTGGGGGTTTGGTGGTCTTCGGCTCAGCAGCACTAATCAGAAAACGGTTTTCTGATTAGCCCAGTTCTAAAACGGGGGTAATTCAACCAGGCCGGCTATGTTGTCTATATGCAATCAAAAAACAGTACATAAAAGCTCCCAAAGACCCCCCAAAACCCCCAGTTTCTGGCATGCTATGGAGGCTAGCCCAAACCTCTGCTTGGAGAAGAGAGGGAGTTTACCAGCCCGTGAAGTGCCTTAAGGCATCACGTGGCGCAGCTGTGCTCAGTGGACAGACAACTCGCTTCTCGATCCTCATTAATACCTGACCTATATGCTCAGACTAACACTTACAAACATCCGTCACAAAATGTGAGCAGACATGGGGAAAAAGAGCACTGCCGTGGGATTCCTGGTGTTCGGTGGGCTGTTTTTACAGTACATGATGAGGACGACCATAGCTATAGCCATACCTGCCGCTGTACAGGGTTACCACGGACTGTATACCAACCTGGAGGATATAATCTTTAGGTGGAGAGGAGGGGTAAGATGTCATGCTGTTCGTTGTATAGTTTTTCGATTCGTTGTAAGATCTTTCGACACTTACTATATATATGGGATTAACTGTGAAACCGATTCATACAATAAGAAGTGGGTCTCTGTATATAAAATGTCATTCAAAGGTGGATTCATTGTACGTTTTTGTAACCTGTTCCAGTTGAATGCATTGTGCCTGTGCCTGTATGTGTGTGAGGGTCAGTGTAAGTGTGTTTGTCCGCCTGAGTGTATGTACGTGTGGTTGTGTGTGTGCGTGTGTCACGGTGTGTGTGTGTGCGTGTGTGAAAGAGAGGGACAGTGTGTTTGTTTGTGTGTGTGTGTGTGTGTGTGTGTGTGTGTGTGTGTGTGTGTGTGTGTGTGTGTGAGAGAGAGAGAGAGAGATTGTGTATGTGCGTGTGTGAGTGTGTGAGTGAGTGAGTGAGTGAGTGAGTGCGTTAGTGACGAATATTGCTTCAGAATCGGGACAGACATACAACTAGTTCCATTTCGCCCAATCCTTCAGACAGGTACATGACTTGTATTGTATGTGATGTTACAGAGCTCTAAACTGCAGCTGAACTACACCCAGGTGGAAGTAGGAGCGATATTCGGCACGTTCTACATCGGGTACATCCCGTCACGTCTGCTCGGGGGACACCTGGCCTTCAGGTTCCCCGCTCTCAGGTACACTCAACTGTTTAACCACGCAGGCTTGTATCTGTATAGCCAGTATTACGAGTAACTACACTTCGGTAACACACCAGCTTCTGTATCTGTATAGCAAGTATAGCTGCCCTTTGGCATAACACAGTCCAGCTTCTGTATCTGTATCTATATACTCTCGGTAGAACTGTCCTTTGGCATAAGCTTTTGTATCTATATCTGTATAGCCCTTCGACATATTAACACACCAGCTTCTGTATCTGTGTAGCCGGTAGAACTGTCCTTTGGCATTCAGAAATTTATATCTGTATAGCCCTTCGGCATATTTACTAGCTTCTGTATCTGTACAGCCGATAGAACCGCCCCTCGCCGTAACTGGTCCACCAGATTCTGTATCTGTATCTGCAATACAGTAGAGTGGCACTACGATAGGGGAAAGGGGAATGGTGTAACCGCAGACTGACAGGAAGGTCAAATCGGGAGTCATGGTTTTCGTACGTTTCCTATCACATGCATGCCTGTTATTTGCCATTGGGAAAATACATGTACAGAATCAGCAAAACCTTCACAACAATGAATACGTAAAACAAGAAAATCACAACTTATTACTTCACGAAGGTGTCACCTTTAATACATCCTAAACTTACATTTTTACTAATCAGTGTATCAAATGATTTCCAGGGTGTTCCAACTCAGTCTTCTCATGACGTCACTGTTGCACATCTGGGCTCCGGTCGGACTCGGCGTCCACCTCTCTGTCATCATCATCATCAGAATACTGCGGGGGTTCACGGAGGTACAGGCAATATCTTGTCATCTTTTTAGTTGGGAATGTGTAACCATAATGATGAACTCACAGCCCTCTCTCCCTCCCTCCCTCTCTCTCTCCATCTCTCCGGCCCTCTCTCTCTCTCTCTCTCTCTCTCTCCCTGTCTCTCCCTCCTTCTCCCCCTCTCTCTGTGCATGTGTGTGTGTGTGCATGTATGTGCGCGCGTGTGTGTGTGTCTGTGTGTGCGTGTATGATGCTCAAAAGACTATAATTAACTAAGCAAAAACAGACTGATGGTACAGTTCCATATTAAACTTGACCTCCACTGCCCAGTATGAACAGAAACGTGAATTCCTTAAGAAATACATCTGTAAAAATACCTATCATTGGTAGCTCTTACCTATTGGTAATTTATGATACTTTGCCTAAAATTGTCAAGAAGGGTCCAACCAACCCTTACCTGGGGCGTCCCCGACCAAAAACGGGGCGTTTGCATAAGTAGGCCAGTAAGTTGAAAAAAGGGGCGTGGCATTCTTTTACTTTTTAGTACTACCAAGGACGTTCAACACCTTGGTACTACACTGTCCCGTATACGGTAGTGTTCAAACAATCATGGCATCCATTCAGAAGTTCACCTCCGCATATCTTACTTCATGGATCTCAAAGGAAATGGATTTTTTTAGTCAGAATGCTACACTAGTAATTATATGAGACAATCATGCATAAATATCACACCATTCGTAGCTGGTGACCTGTAAAGTATTATATGATAGATCGGCACACACACATATATAGGCGTCCTTTTGTTCTTTCTGCCATATCTTACCCATAGGCAAGTCATCGACCTACTAACACTCTTAGCCTGAGGATCTCTTGCCTGTTTAATAGCTTTGTTTGTCTGTAAATGTCTTTTGATATCTGCCGAAATGCAATTTTTCAACTTAGGGTTCTTACTTCTTTGTGGGTAAAATTAACTACTGTACAAGTGAACAAAACCGTAGAACGGTTTTCACGTTTGATAAAACAATGTCATTTTTTTAATCTTTCCGAGTACTAGTGACCTATTAAGGTCCCAGTTTCCGGGTCAATTCAGATTCTTATGAATTACAAGTATGTCTGTGTCAGAAAGAAAATTTTTTTTATTGTTGCCTGGATCATTCGAGGAGAGGTTTACAGTTTATCCAGGAACATTCTAAGACCGTTTTCGTCGCATTTTTTGACTCTACGTGACAGATAATCATGTCACAGTTTGTATATGGTCAAATGTAACACGCATTGGACTCTATGGTTTATGTATGTGTACTCTTTCTATCAAGCTAAGATTTAAACATCGTCTAAATATTATATATTATTTTTCATTTGCCCAGGGTATAGCATTTCCGGCAGCGTTCACTCTACTGGTAGAATGGCTGCCGACTTTCACAGCTGATAGGGCTAGAATCATCACTACTGTACCTATAGGTAAGTAAGATCGTACAAGGAATAATAATGATAACTAATTAAAGTTAATTGAAAATTCCTGCCCTACGGTTAACTGCATATGATCAAAGAACATTAAAACTTCAAAGTGTACCGAGGTACTTGTCTGAACCTATGCCTGGGCTATGTCTAAACACCTGGTCTGCAGGGTTTGACTTCTCTTTTGTAAACCGCAAGAAAGACGTAATGCCCCACCTTTTGCAACATTTCAGTGGGTACGGTAGTGGGAAGTCAATCAACAAAGCGCTTGCAGAAAAGAATACAGTATTTTTTAAATTTATTTTATCTATTTTTTAAATTTATTTTTATTTTATTATAATTTAAAGTAAGAATTAGATTAAAAAAGAATACAGTATTATTTATGTTAGACTAAAGATAACATTGATTCCCCACACAATAATTTTTACCTTCATGAATTTAGGAAATCTTATCGATTGCCACTCAACTGCATGAGGTCGGTATAGACTTCAAGTTACCCTTTGACCCTCAATGACGTAATATGTCTGAAGTCATAAGTCTTCGATTACGAGTAGAAGTAAAGTCGTATAGCTAGCCATGGCAAAGTATTCTTAACATTTTGTTCCCTTTTCTCTTGTGCATTTTGCAGTGATGTACCTCGGTTTTGGCCTCGGCTTTCTCCTCAACAGTCTGTTTCTCCCGCTCTTTGGTTGGTTCGCACCGTTTGCCTTATTTGGTAAGTTTTTGATGCACTAAAGCCCATTGGTCAGAATTTGTGGAAAGGCAAGTTTGCTTTTCTTAAGTGTCTTTAAGATACAAACAATTAAACAAACAAACAAACAAGCAAACGTTTTTTGGCATAGCTTGCTTTATAGAAGAGCTTATATATTTGATACGACAACGTTGATTTACGTACTATTATCATCAGTACTATACATTTTGCAATTTTACATTTCTTCAAGTGAGCACAAAAACTAGACACGTCTTTGGCAATGTGTTACGAAGGTTAGTGACCCCCTATCTACACCCCCTACTACATACAGGTATTTTCGGGATTTTATGGACAGCTATCATGGAAACCTTCAACTGCGTCTACGGCTTCACCCAAGGGCCGACTGAAGACGACATGAAAGACATGAACAAAAACAGAAAGTCCAGTATAGAGAATCAATATAATGGCAGACGAATAAGTGTAAGTAATAAATAATACACGATTCAACATTTAATAGTGCATGGACATGTGTAGTGGTTCAGTTGTTTGCTTTTTTGCGTATTTGTTGTTCGTTTTAAGGGCTAAATATCTTTAAACTTTAAAGATAACCTTGAATTAAAGACCTACACATTTAAAAGATAACTTTATATTAAAGACTTACACATTTTACCCCCGCCCCCCTCCCATAAACAGAACAATACACCCATCCCGTGGACAGCGATGATGACGTCACCTGCAGTGCTGGCCGTGGTGTTCTGCGAAGCTGTCCTGAAGTGTGGACAGCACCTGGTCCTGCTGTACGCGCCCATCATGTTCTCACAAGTCGGCAAACGCTCCATTACAGAGGTAACTGAACACTAAATGGACAATACTAGTACTATAGTCTATTTTTGGCTACGCGCTGGGACGGAGCTCCGGAGGCACGAAGAGACACCATTGAACAATTTTTCTTGTCAGATGACCATGTTTTACCATTTCTAAATTCTGTAACAAAGAAACTTGTTACAAACAATATACAATCAAGGGCACAAGATCGGTGGCATGTTGGGACTCGAACCCGGGACCTCTTGGTTCCGAGTCGAGCACTGCCACACGACCGTACATTCGCGGATGCTGATACGTGTGTCTGTTTGCTCCCCGCAGATCGGCCTGCTGTCCATGTCTCCTCCGCTGCTCGTGGCCTTCATTCTCCCCATCGCTCTGGTCATCATCCCCAGTCTCAACTTGGTGGACCCTCCTAGAAAAATCTTTAACTCGATAGGTCAGTTTGTTTGTTTGTTTGGTTGTTTGGTTGCTTGTTTGTTGGCACCTTAATTAGTTTATCTTGGCTGAAGTAGTTGGAGTCAAAGCGCCAGAAACGCAAAGAGACACCACAACCTCAAAACACTTCAACTTTCATATGTCCCAATTGTGGCCAAGACTGTCATGCAAAGATTATACAAGACAAGCCACGCTAGATGCTGTCATGAAAGTTCATCTGTGTTGGTAGTTACATGTTGAAAGTTAAACTTTTGATCTATTAAGGAAGACTACAGTGACTGGTCGAAAGCTCTAGGTGAGAGAACGTTTTGTGTTGGATCAAAAGTTTTAACTTTAAACACACTAGATGCTGTACAAGGCCACGAGACCAGACTTAGGGGTGCTTCCATCATGTTTCGAGATGGAAAGATGCCCACTACTACTACTTATGCGAGGAAATGTTTTTGGCAATGGAGAAAACTTTCTAAAGATTACTTTCAACGTTTTTGCGTTCACTTATTTTTTTTCGGCAGGTTTCTTTGGTTTTGCCGCTGGACTGATGGTAGTCGGCATGAAGCCTAATTTCATCTGGATGACGGTATTTCTCGCTGTTGGACTTGGGATGACTGCATTTGCACTGGCTGCTGGTAGGCGGCGTTTTTATTTAACACGATCTAGACCATGCGAGTTAGCACAGCCTCTACCAGGCTTGAGAAGCGACTGGAAAGAGTATTTTAATTGATCTGCAGTTATATTCATTGATCATCCTCCGAATAATTTGCCAAAATTGTCCACTCGTTTACAGGTTATAACATGACGCCCATCGAGATAGCTCCCGAGTATGCCACCATCATCCGGGGGGTGTCGGCAGCTTTTGGAACAGCCATCGGAGCGTTTTACATCATATTTGTGGGATGGGCCACAGGAGACAAGGTGACTTAATTTCTATTTTTACCTCTTGTACGCAAATGACAATACCCTTTCTTCAACCGTTTTGCCCTGCTATTGAAAACTATTTCATATTATAAACAAAGCAAACTTGAAGTTATAAAAGAAACAGCGGGACGCTTGCGACAAGGAACTGATTTTCTATTTCAGTCTCTTAATCGTGTTTAAAATTATAAAACTTTTGATCCAACACAAAAAGTTCTCTCACCGAGAGCTTTCGACCAGCCACTCTGGTCTTCCTCAGTAGACTGACCCAGTGAGGCTTGTCACGTGGCTTCTTTGAAGTATGATGTCAACAAGCCACGTGACAAGCCTCACTGGGTCAGTCTACTGAGGAAGACCAGAGTGACTGGTCGAAAGCTCTAGGTGAGGTGAGAGAACTTTGTTGTGTTGGATCGAAAGTTTGAACTCTAAACGTGTAACTACAGTCTCCTAATCTTTTCCCCCACACCCAGACGACGAACCAGTGGTCCATAGTGTGCGTGTTGGAGGCCTGTTTCCTCTGCGCGGCGGCCGTGCTCTTCATGATCTCCGGGCGGTCGACCGTGCAGCCCTGGGCCCGTCCGTGGGAGCGGAACGGTGAGCCGCCCAGACCGCAGCTCCGGGACACCGCCTCGGCGGACCGACTCGTCTCTCCCGCCGGGAGCCTCAACGATTTGCTGGAGGCGACCTCGCAGGAGTGCGTCCAACCTGATATGGACGACTACTACACGGCGTTCAAGAAAGGGCAGGAGAAAACGGAGTAAAGTCGACTGAAACAGCCAGAAATTGTAAAAAAAAAGTGGTTTGCAACAGAAAAGGGAATAAAGTCGAGCAGACATAGCCAGAAGTTGTCTAAATGGTTCCTTTATATCACATTTTAAACTCCGGCATCCGAAGAATGCATCCGCCCTGACATCGACGACTACTACACGGCTTTCAAGAAAGGGCAGCAGAAAACGGAGTAAAATCGACTAGATTACGATAGCCAGAAATTGTAAAAAAAAAAGGGTTCTCATGTGCTATTCAAATAAATAAATGTTCTTCTCATGTTGTGGTCAATTTTCATCATTTATTTCAGTTACAAATTTGCAGGTCATTACTTGAGCAAGATTAAAATGGTTTCACGCTTCAGTGAAATGCAATCTATTAGTTGATAGCCACAACTTTGCCCCGTGACAATTGGGAAAATGTTAGAGTTTACAAATAAATTCTCATACATGATAAAATGAAGATTTTAGACATCACAGTTACTATATTTGTATACTCGCAGCAGCGTTCACACTTACCCTGATAAAACCGGACCAAATTTTCATATGTAGATAGAAATCTGAACTATTGTAAATATTAGTATCTGTTATAACATGAAAGTATGCACGTACTAAAATGGTAGTTAAATCACGCCTTCAATGAAGTATATAAAAATGGGTTTCGATGTGTTTCTATGTGACATACATAAAAAAAACTTGGACGGACGATCGGACTCGCGGTCGGGCTGATACCTCGGGCGATACGGAATACCCCGTGTTGTATTCTATATATATGTTATCCCTCTAGCTATTTGGCCGATTTCTACTCTTTCCAGTCGCCTCCCGAAGCCTGGTAGTGGTAGAGGCTAGCTAGACGTAGGATGCATTGTCACACTTCACTCCGCCGAAGACCACACTAATGTTCAGACGGAGGTGTGGTAATATATAAGCTCGTTCTTCAGCTCCTGGACCGGGACGCTGTTGTCATGGCAACGGTCAGACGACCTGCTGTCACGTGACAGGCGCTTCATCTCTACGTCATCAGCGTCCAGGTCCCACTGGCGGGAAAAACAAGAGACTTAAAAGGTGAAAACTGGAACCGGTTGGTACAGGGAAGTACTTGTAAGTCGCGCCGCTGGTGTAGTGGTATCATGCAAGATTCCCATTCTTGCGACCCGGGTTCGATTCGCAAATCGACCCGGCGGCGCAAATGATTTTTTTCATATTTAAATCATTTTTCTCGTGGCCCAGTAATAAAAAAGGACTTTTGGGGATCCTTGCCAAGGATCGAAAAAAGTGCGCCGCCCGGGAATCGAACCCGGGTCGCAAGAATGGGAATCTTGCATGATACCACTACACCAGCGGCGCTGATGTCTAAACGTAAAATAGTATATAATTTAATTTGTCACATTTACCGGTCTTCTCTTGTACGGAGTGCTGGTCATGTTGGGGAGGAAGTCTGATACAGTCTCACCGTGTTTCACTCCACATCTGCGAAATAAGGAGAAAGGATGGAACAAGTGAGAAACAAATAAAAGAAATAGGCCAAGAGATAAGGTTAAGATTCATTGTTTTGCAGTAAGAAGCCCATGAGAATTAATCGTTAATAGAGCTTACTAAGATCGTTACTACAAATCGAAATCAGGAGTCAAACATACAAAATGCTCTATGTTTTTCTGGTACTTAATAATCTGTCCTTTGTGATTTTTTTTTTGCGTTGCAATTGCACACCAACGTCGCAGGTACGTAGGTGTGGTGGCGAATATGACGAAGCTGCTCGGTAGCTTAAAAGACTATCAGTACAGTATAAAGGTACTGAGAGACTACGTGTACTTACCTGAGTGTTTTTCTCGCCCCGGCAGGTAAACAGCAGCACAATTGGTCGAAGAAGGGACTGATCAGTTTGGGGTCGATCTTCTTTGGGTCCTGCGCTCCTGAAAATCCAAATGATGATTTTGTTGTAGATAATCAACATTTAGCTTAAGACACATACATATAAATTCTCCCTATGTCAGTCAGCCTCAAAAAACTACGACTAATTATAATAACATCTAAATTAAACGTAAGAAAACCAAAGATATCTTGCGAAGTATCCAAGACCTATGAAAATCCCGTCACAAGAAATATAGATTATTGCATTAACCATTGATATCGGCAAACACCAGTTGCTATGTGACGGCTCAATTCATAATTAAGTCGCTAGATGGCGCAGTTGCATTACCCACCTGTTATAAAACTGACGGCCAGACCGATGACGACACAGCTGAGGACGCCGACCCCTCCCAGCCACATGTAGGACATACCGTAGATCTCAGATCCTGGTGAGCTGTACAAAAAGGGGAGTGGGTTCGAACGTTCGTGTGGCTTAACGGTAGAGTGTTCGCCTCGGAACCAAGAGGTCTCGGGTTCGAACCCTGCCATGCCACCGGTCTTGTGCCCTTGGGAAATTCCCCCCTCTTAACTCAAGTGAAAATGAGTATGTATGATCATGTATGTTGTCCGTGCGTTTGTCTGCGAAGGTGGTGGCATAAAAATAAGTTGGAAAAACTGAGTGTGCCGTCACCATGTATTGTGATAAATTGTAAGTTATAGGGTTAGGGTCTCCGCGTATCCAAGAAAGTAGATTTGCCTCAGGCACGGTTCTGGATACGCGTGGACAATCCAGAACCGTGTCTGAGCTGGGTTCTAGATAAAGCATGGTTCTGGATACAACGGGGAGGGAGAGAAAGTACAGTAAGCGGGACTTTTTTGGCAACGCCAATAAGACGGAGCCATTGATAGAGATGTACCCTTGAGGGACGGTGCTTGAGGAAGAACGTTGCTCGAATACATAGTAAGTGGAAAAAGAGAATGTTGCATTAATAGTTTCCAGCAACCATCTCCAATATCTATCTTATTCTTCCCCAAACGACTTCTTACTAATAGTATTTATCACCTAGCGCCTGGGACCGGTACTGCAGCTGTCGTAAAGTTGAAGGCAGCATCCGTCGGCATTTCGAAGGCTGACACGTCACTGGTGACGTTGTTTCCGGTCCCGTTACATCCGGCGATAGAGATAGGCGGTCTCCACCGTGGGTAGGGGTGGGCGAACTGACCGAACCCCAACCACATGGTGATGATCAGGCTACAGAACAGGCCCGCAAATCCACCCTGGGTACGACAACACGTTGCAGTGCAAGGTAAAGTTGTCATAGACAGCACAAAAATGACAAAAATCGAGCCAGCAATGTCCCCTACAAAACAGAAGGGAACGTACATATAGAAATGTGAAACCCTTGCTAAACTTTGGAACTTTCTAGTTTCCCTTGGATATTCTCTTTAGTATTTAGAATAAAACGATTTGATGTGCTAGTAAACAATACAAAAGGCAAGAAATTCGTCGATGACCTATTTCTTCCAAAAACTCACCTTCCCATTTGCACAAGGAAACAGCATTCCGAGCACGAAGATACCCAGAATCGGGCCCCCAATGGTGCCGAAAATACTCAATCCAGCCTGGAAAGGGTACAAAAATATTACTTTTGCATGTTTTTATTGCAAATGCATGCTTGGAGAGTACTCTTCGAGAGAACTTTTCCCAGAAAAATAAAGTCAACAGCACGTGTAAGTTCTCTTTCTGACGTTCTACAATTGATCTTCAACCTTTCTCATGCACAGTTTACGCTAGTTGTCTCCAAAGTAACGCCTCACTAACGATACGTGATTTTCCCATCATATACTACTGGTACTTACGATGATGATGGAGCCAAGGTAGGAGGCCATGTATGACATCATGATCATCACTGATCCGTACGTGATCACTAAGGAGAAAATAGAAGTTCATCAGTAAGGGCAAAATTAGCGCTTTCCTAAAACTCGGCAGCCATTTTTTAAATCCACATAGCCCATATTCTGTGCATTCAACTATTACTAGTACATGTATAATCTATAAAACAAGATTTTGCTGTTTTTAATGTTTTAAGTGGAAGTAGTTTTTTCCTTACCGAGAAGTTTGGAGATGACAGTGTATCTGAGGTCCGTCCAGTCTTTTCTCCTGGTAAGAGGTTTGATAAAGTCTTCTAACGCCACGGCTGCCAGAGAGTTCAGTCCGGAGGACATGGTGCTGAAAAATGGGCATTTACAATAGTTGTACATGTCATGTTTACACATGGTTAGAAGATGTGACGCTGTAGAAGTCATATTTACAATTGAGAAGTGGGGCACACTCAGACACACTGTATAGCCTATGTAGTAGTTATCTTCAGTGGTATGCGAACATGCCTGTCCTTGGTGCTGAACGCTATCCACACATTGCACATACATGTATACTGTATAGCCTATGCAGTAGTTGTCTTTGGTATGCGAACATGCCTGTCCTTGGTGCTGAACACTATCCACACTCTGGAGAACATACCCGGAAAAATAACTAATAAAACGAAATCTGGGGGTGAGGTTTTTTTCCCCTTCTTTCCCCAAACATTTCTTTTCTTAGTCTCTTATGTTTATTTAAGTTCCACCTTATGGCTGCGCTGAAGACGGCGGCTGTGAAGAGCCCGGGCATGCCGGGAAGGTGGCCGAGCACGTCCATCGTCAGGTAGGGCATCAGCTGATACACAGGAAAGAGATACGTCATCGTCCTGATACACAGAAAAGAGCTACGTCATCGTCCTGATACACAGAAAAAATCTACGTCATCGTCCCGATACACAGATTACGTTCTGAAACGTCATCAATTTATGTCTATACGGGTGACACACTTGATGCATTCCATGAAGTATCAAAACTTATAAAATGGCGGCTGGTGACCCCTAACCTCTGACCTGATCGCTGTTGTAGATGTATCCGGCCAGCCTGGGGTCGCAGTCATGGTAACGGGCGTAGATGACCAATCCGGACACGCAGGCCAAGGTTATGATCACGCCGAGACCCAGGATGTTCAGGTACAGGGCTCTGTGGAACAAAGTACAAACTTTAAGAATGACAAACGAACGGAGAGAACAGACTTAAGGAGCAACTTTAAGGTGCTGACGTATGTTCCCACTACATGTAAATAGTTCAAGACAGAACAATGAAAAATATTATATGAATTTAAACATCAAAATAAATGACAGAAAACTATCGTTTTTACATCCGGGTTGGAACCATTGTCACAAAACATTTTGGTCCTCAAACTTCAATTATGAGTTATATGGCAATGAATATACACTATAAACTGGGTTTGTAGAATTACATGTATAACGTTACATGTCTCATTCATTGCTGTGTGTTTCTATGATGATAAAAGCCTTACGTCTGCGCCTTGCGGAGTGTGGGACAACTGCAGTAGCGCTGCACCTGCGCCTGGTTCACCCCGTACACGGCCGTCCAGGTGAAGATGCCCCCCACCCACACCGTCCAACTGGAGTGGCGAACCTTCGGGTCAGGGTCCCAACTGGGAAGGTCACAGAAGGTCGAATGTTTGAAATCGTTTGAATCGTTTGAAATTTGAACTACTAGCACCCGTCCGTGACGGTGGGCGGTACAAACTTCCAGATCCAAGCTGTAAATATCAACCATCAACACCGTAACGGTGGACGGAAATACTAAGCAATATGGTGTAGTGCCTACTAGTGGTGTGGTATCATGCAAGATTCTCGCACGGTGCATAACTTTTCATAACCAGCTATGATACAATAACCAGAATCAAAAACCAATTGTTTCTTAAACCAATATGCTTTTAGATAATTCATTTAATTGCACTGAAATGTCTGTTACGTGTAGCAGTTACCTGTAAAATGCGTTAGAATTCCGAACTGCTGAAACCACAAATTGAACCTACTAGTACTTTGAACAATGGCCAATTGCCAACCACAGTGCCAGACGCTAACTTACGGCCCTCGCTAAGGCTAAGTAGAAACACATCCGTTTCTTAAGTTAACCCTTACTTGAAGAACTCTAGCCTCTGGCCCCGCCGTGCTATCTCCCAGACGTTGCTCCAGCCTCCTACCACCAGTGTCCCCTGGATAATCACAGCGAGAAACCCCGCCACCATCACACACACCTGGAACGTGTCGGTCCACATCACTGCCTTCATACCGCCCTGGAGTAAGAAAGGAATATCTGATAGACAATTGTATAGGCTATCACACACAGACACACACAGACACACACACACAGACACACACACACACACACACACACACACACACACACACACACACACACACACACACACACACACACACACACACACACACACACACACACACGACTACACACACACACACACACACACACACACACACACACACACACACACACACACACACACACACACACACACACACACACACACACACACACACACACACACAGTAACACACACATTTATATGCGTGAAGATCATTACCATTATGTGTACTCACTATTGCGGTGTAAAATGTACAGACAATTCCCATAGTCAGTAAAGCCACCCACAAGTTTAGCCCAGTCACTGTAAAATATTAATGGAAAATGAATAAAAAGTTTCATGAAAAGCGTCAAAGAGAACAAAAAATCGTTTGAAAAATAAATCAATGACTTGATATAAAAGAAAACTGCACAATTGAAATAATTTGTAGATTTTTTTGTAGATTATTTTGGGCTGTTGTCCCCTACCTGCATTCAACGCCAGTGAGGGTGCGTACAAGACCAGTCCCATGTAAATAATCTACATAAAACAAACAAACAAACAAACAAATAAGAGGAACAAGAATTAGAAATTACAACACACCAAGAGTAGTATTCTGTCGGTCAATTATAAGAAGGTCTGTAGTGTACCCATTCAGAAATTGATCAATTCAAAGGGTGCTTTTTCACGTTAAATTGGCTGGAACTTGGATATCAATCAAGTTCGGGTAATCGGGCAAAATCTATAATGTCGGCAACGCACATCAACTGCGCCGCTGGTGTAGTGGTATCATGCAAGATTCCCATTCTTGCGACCCGGGTTCGATTCCCGGGCGGCGCATAATTTTTTAAAATCCTTTTTCTTATAGTTTTTATATTCTCAAACGACAACATCAAGTAGATATTAGAAGGCAGCAATGGACTAATTCTGGTAAACAACGGTATCTACTGATCAATTTTCAGTCCCAATATGAACACTAGTTGCCTGAAATGGTGCAACCGTGCAGCTAAAGGCGCTGGGTACCTCACCATGTTTATAGTGAAGAAGATGGCTCCGAGTGTTCGCACAGCCTTGTTGAACCTCTTCTCCAAGTACTGAATGGAAACATAGAACGGTTTACATCTTGGAAAGAAGCAATAGCCTAGATTCACTGGGCCACACAATTGTACAATCAGTAAATTCTGTGAAATTTGAAATAGTGCAACAAAAGAATCATTGACGTTTAACGGATGTGACCTCGCATTGTACAGGCTGATTCCTTCTTCTACAGAACAAATTTTTCACCTTCTGGCAAGTATCATGAGTTGTTTTTCTGAACTCGAAGATTGCGGGTGTTCCCCTGAGACCTTAGCTCCTGCTGTACTCCGGTTATCTGGCGGAGGGCCAGGGTTTAAGTTTTCAGCTGGTTGATGCTCCGTTATCGGTCCATATCACTCTTCCGCTTCTCAATATATCAAACAGCTGATTAACTGCTTCATGTACTTCTATCACACTTCACTGAATTTCGATTGGCACAGCTATAACGCTAACACTAGCTTTTAAAAACACGGGCGCCACATTGGATTTAATAACAGCCAGTACTTGACACCTTCCCATGGACAAAACATATCACTTCTTCCATAGATAAATTCAATTTCATTCTAGAAGGTAATAACCCTTATTGTGTACAAATAGGTAAATATATCAAAGAATATTTAGACCCTAGAACAAGTAGTACAAGTTGATTCATCTATTGTCACAAGTACCCACGTATCTGTCTGTATGTCTACATGTAGTTTTACACCTTACGAAAGTCGCTGTACTTTTGTTGTGTCAATAAAGTTTTATATCACTGAAGCATATCATAGTTCATCTGTACCAAGGTCTCCTAGGTCTTAGGTCAACTTGACAGTGATAGACACAACACACATGTGCTCATAGATAAACAAAGACTCTACATAACAGTCAAGTACACTACAAGGTTTTGTCGTACGAACCTCGTTTGTACTCGTGACTCCAAGTCTGTAGAACGTCGGGAGAAAGAGGTGCGCGGTCAGCACGATCACGATGACATACGTGACGGCGAACATCCAGTACATGGTGCCGTTCGTGTAGACCTCGGCCGGGGTGCCTAACACGGTTATGGCGGACATGAACGACGCCAGGAGAGACAGACTGACGGGAAGAACCGACATGGAGCGGTCAGCCATCAGATATTCCTTCGTTGTGCGCTGTTTGCCGCCGGTACAGGCGTAGTATAGCCCAATGGAGATGGACACGCCAAACATGACCGAGAACACAGCATAGTCCCACCCGCTGAACCGTAAGTTCCCCTCCGCTGCCATCGCGAACTGCTGTGTCCCGTCTTCAAGTTTTCCTTCCTTCAAGACGTTGAACGATAGACCTTGAAGACAGGCGTGACCATGAAGGAGGGCCTGCTTGGGGGTTAGTGATTACAAATTACGCAAAATTATCACCACCGATTACGAATTACGTTAAATTCTCAGAGCTGATTATGAACAGTTACGCGTTACGGATATTATGCACTGATTACAAATTAGTTCTTTTGGGCGGCTGCCTACGAAGCCTAAATTACGAATACTAAATTGAAGGCCTGATTACGCCTTAAAAAGAGCATGCAGGTCCTCATGAAAGCCTTGCCTTGAACCCTTCGCTACAGTACATCGACCTCTGAAGGCGTGTTGTTATGTATGTCTGTCCGCGGAACCTTGTTTACACTCGCTCCGCATGTCAGTCAAGCAACAAATCTAACACTAAAGAAAGGGGTGATTGTTAAGGTTGACAACAACACCCCGGTATATTCAAGAGTTGCGAACTACTAGTGCACGCACGTACGTACCTGAACCCGAGGAAACCAGCAGGGGCAACTCCAAGTCTGAGCACTGCAAGTTGTGGGACCAAAACACCGCGGTACCGAGGGGTGTACGTAAACACGGCCAGAACATCTGGAAACACTCAGGGATAAACCGTTATGGTGGCGGAAGTTTGGTTCTACTTCCTCTCATTCTGGATGGTCCTTGGCCCACCAGCCCTTCAGTAGTCTAACGGACCGTCCCTCAAATCTATTTGACCCCCCCTCCCTAACAGGTGGTTCGTATTACTGCATTAGGGAGGGCTCATTCCAGTGACGTCAAAGGTTACCCTGGGCCAAGTTTCGCGCCAAAAGGAAGGCAGACGTGTTCCTTTGGAAACGTGTAGGCATCCGTCCATCTGAGAAAACGCACTAGGGCTTCTTCACCACAGATTGTCGCGTGACTCTCCCCCTGGCAACGAGCATTGTCCGCCATGTTGGGGTACAGCATGGCACCTAATATAATAGTTGCGTAGTTTTGGCTAGAATATACTTTTTGGACACTCTTCCTGTCAGTAACATATTGTCCTTGGGGTTGTTCTGGCTCTGTTTCTAATCAGATCACGTTGTTGGGTGACATGCATGTATTGCTGTACCACAGGGAGTACGCTGAGAGATCATTTTCGACTCTCTACCGAGGAACTTACAAGTTTAACCATAAAACATGGCGGACGGGACAATACTGACGTCATAGTCACGTGAGGTCTAAGGGGCCCGCATGCCCTTTTCCGTAGAGCGTAATCGGCCATTTTAACTCTGCGTAATGCGTTGTAGCCACTTGGAATTTATCGTAAAGCGTAATCGCTACTGTAGCGTAATAGGTAGCCGGCTCTCAAAATTTAGCGTAGAGCGTTGTCGGGACCCCCCCCCCCCATGCAGGGCATGCATGCATTGCTGTACCACATGGAGTACGTTGTGTAATTATGTTCGACTCTCTACCGACCAACTTTATATAAGTTTAATCATAAAACATGGCGGACAATAATGACGTCAGAGTCACGTGAGTTCTAATGCTCGCCCAAGAACACAAACATTAACATGGAAATAAATTTAAAGGAACTCTTTATTTTCTTTTTACACTCAGAAAGAAAATCAGAGCAGTTAAAAATAGGTTTTGAACTAACTCAGTCCAGACTACTTATATCTGGGATTCTATGCCATACACATATGTGGATTTTACGCAAATGCTATTATACACCCATTCATTAGTTTGTAAGTTCATATAAAGCAATGTTACATATTAAGAGCTACTTAGGCCATACACACATTTAAAATCACAATGTTTGTTATGTACAAAATGAGGACATTAATAAAATAGCAAAAATGTCAATAGCTTTATAGCACAATATTAGTAAACGTGGCCACCGTGCAAGTTGTATGGTTTATTTACATGGTTATATCAACTAACACAACATTTGCTCTGATTGGTTGTTCGTCACCGCAAATGAAAAGTCAGATCGTTAAAGAATGCTCTGATTGGTCAGTCCTCTCGTCCAATCGAAGAAAAGAAGTTCTGACCAACCGGCGAAGTGGTTGTTTAGTAAGACAAAACAATGCAAATAGAAATTGCCCCAAACCACATACTAGTAAATTGTCATGTACCGCCTCAAAATCATTTAAAGAAAAGTAGATTTTTAGTGCTTCTAAACATCATGATTCTTTGAAATGATGATGTGTAGACTTTTTCACCAAGAAGATCTATTCTATACATTTTCTGTATAAAAATAAGTCTCTATATTGTCTGGAATGCATTGACATAGTATCGAGGGAAAACATCTTTGGATATTTTGTCTCCGCATGAGATTTTTGTCTTCATGGTTCGAGAACTAGGAGGTACTTGATTACCATTTTTCCGAATCACCCTTATTTTAATATTCTCTAACAAGGATCATTTAATTTCACTAATTTCACCCATGTATTTACAAAGATAATACTTATTGGTATCGCTTAAGGGCTGATTGTACTAGCCTCATGCTCAGTAAGCTCACAGTCTGCTGGAAATACAAGCCATTTTTATTTCTCAACATATTAAGTATCAAGCAAACCGACTGTTTGTAGTCAAGGATTCCGCCTGATTCAGCGAATTGTTGGTACACAGAACAACATCTCCTAACACATGTTCCTGAAAGTTTTAATTTTCTCTCTCAAAACAGTTTCCTTCGATCGAACTCTCGAATCTCAGATGAAACGCTTGGATTTTAGATCGAACGCTCGAGTTTTAGATCGAATCTTAGATCGAACGTTCGAATCTTAGAATAAACTTTCGAATCTTAGATCGAACGTTCGAATCTTAGATCGAACGTTCGAATTATAGATCGAACGCTCGAATCTTAGATCGAACTCTCGAAGTCCACGCTGCTTTTGCTGTTCCTCTCGTCCGGGACATCGCCGTTCGGACTGGAGGTCGGTATGTCGCCGTCGCGTTCTTCTTCTCCCTTTAAGTTTTTCATCTCCTCAGCCCTCGACGGCCCGTCTTGGTCTGTCTTTGAGTAGTAATCCTGTAAGGACAGAATATGTCGTAAGACATCACACAAGAAGTTTTTAAACGATATTTACGTTATATTTACGTTGAGGAATTTGAACGTGTCCTTTATTTTGTATGATCAGCACCAAAACCATTTATAACGTTAACAACGGTTAATTCTTAAGAACATTGAACGAAAAAATGACATAGTGTTTCTGTAACATATACACGTATACCTGGTGCAGTTACCTGGTTATCGCAAATGTGCAACTAAACAACCTTCTTTCCGTCACCTTGTACCACATTATAATGAAGTTCTAATTGTCTTCGTCAGAAGGACTATGAAATTGTCTCGCCGGAGTGTGGGGAACTGCGGATTTTGCGACATAACTCTGGAAGGCATGATTCGACGTCCATGATTTTTGGCAGGCAGATTACCGCTGTTAAGGCCGAAGTCAAGTACAAGTTTTGGCTTCGTGGGGGGTCCGTGCGTCACGTTAGTGCACCTTTTGTGTTTGTGGCTTGTTAGCAAGATAACTCAAGTATTTGTAAAATGTTGATTATAATTCTTGGTGTGGTGCTTACTATTGTCGGGACCAAGGTTAAGTTCGTTACTGAGCTTCGTGGGGGGTTTCGTTGTGACTACAGGGGGCATTTTGTTAATTTTTCTTGTGAGCAGGATAACTTTTGTATGTATGGATGGAAGTTAATGAAATTTGATAGGCATATTACTGTCGTGGTCTCCAAGATTGAGTTCAAAGATGAGAGTCGT